TACTTCACTGCTACGGCCATTCCCTCTTTGAATGCTGCACATGGTATACCTCTTGACATATAGACTCGTCCTAGTCACTCTGAATCTTGACCATTCAGAGCATAACTTCTGCTATCATCTCAGTTGCTTCAGATGCTTACGAACCGACATCTCTGGATGTCTAAGAAAAAACATTCTTGAAGCTATCTGAAAACCACCTGAGTTTCTAAGCAGAACCTTAACCTTGAGTTTCACGTCAAAATCTCCATATAACTAGCAATGTCATATTTCAGTTGACGTATAGAGCATCCTCAAGTAAACTAGAAACCCCATTCCTCCATTGGTTTCTATACCACTGAGCTTGTCTCAGTTACTGCAGTACTCTCCTGCTCCAAACTGATTCCCTCTTGACTTTGAGAACACTCTTTGCCTCCTTCTGCTGATAGAGACCTCCTTGAGTTTGTTCAGCTCAGTTATTCCCTCAGACAGCTCCACCTCGAACTGTGCTTCTTTTCCTGTGATTACCTGCAAAATCAGAGCTCAAATGTATGTTAGATAATATCAGATCATACCTGTTTTGACTCTGCCTTGATGTCCTTGCAGTTCATATCCGCTATGAAGAACCCATGCTGCAGCCGACATCCTCTTCACATCTTGTAACCACAAGCTGAACCTCTTAACTCCATATGCTGGGACCATTATGAACTTAGAACATTTCATGCTTCCGCTTCTTCTTTTGATCTCCTAGGCTGCAACGATTTCCATGATAATCAGACTTTACTCGTTTTATCAAACCTGAGCTTCTTAGATTCACATGAATCTAATCCCGTTCAGACTCTTAAGTCTTATTTCTAGAACGCTTCTCGTGCTACTGAGAACTTCAACATGACCTTGTCTCAGTCACTGTCCAGCCATCGTTAGAGAACACACACGCTGTTCCCACATACATAAATCTTTTCTCAGATTTATTCTACTTCAGCAGCTTCCTTGCAGCACTCCTTTGGACCATGTGTGGATCTTGAGCTTTTCCTTGAACTTTATCCTTGGATTACCCCGCCTCAGAACTCACCATCTACTGCTTCACAAAGCTCATAAGACAAACGCCTTTCACCTTGATTCACCAATTTCGTGATCAACCTCTTGACCATGTACACACGTTCAGTAGACTTCCCAGTTTCTGAGTTCTGATCCTTGCCTCTGAGACTAATCAAATACGCAAGCTCCTCATCTCCAATCTCAATCATAACTTGAATTCTTCAGAGTTATTACACTGCTCTCATAACCTTTTTTTCTGGTCTTACTTCTCTGAACTCTGAAAACCAAAACTGATCTATAAGCTTCCACCAACACACCGTAGTCTACCTCCTAAGGCGTCCCCTAGTCCTTCGATCCAGTGTGTTACCTCCAGCTTATTACCTCAGCAAAAAATCTTGAACACCAGTGACACATAATCATTTTTACACCAAGAATTTAACCAAAGAAAAAAACTTGAACCTAGTACAACTCTGGCTAACTCCTACTGCAAAACCAGTGTGCAACCCTTGTGTTCTCACCAACTTTCAGTTCTTCGAGAATTACCAACCATGAGTACCAGAAACATCAACGAATTACATCACAAGATGTACCTTCTGAGTGCAACTTAACCTGACAAACAGACCCTGAGATTGAGCCTTACTCTTGCTTGATCCATTCTGATCGTGTAACCCTGAGTTGAAAGATCTCAGCTTCTTTCACTTCTCAATCAGAAACTAACTAACGATAGCCTCAACTGAACACACAAACCCACAACATGAACAAAACCTCATTGCTCCAATGCTCTTTCTTAAGTCTTGAATCTTTTGTGCTTGACCCATCTTTAAACCTCCAAGATCCTTTACCGACTATGCGCGCAGTAACATTATCGCTTCATCACCGAGAGTAGAGAGATTAACTTACTGCCATGATTCCATCTTCTTGAAATCATCCATCGTACGAGCTTCTTCACCACGAACCTGTCTACCTTCAAGACATGTGAGATCAACATAAGCTCCGTTGATATCTTCTTCTTCCTCACCTTGCGACGTCTCCATAACGGTGACTCATGCGGCTCGTCTTCTTTCCTCTTTCCAGAAATCTAATCACCATCATCGAAAAGATTCTCCATGGCAGAACTCTTCTCCACTCCATAATTAATTGATTCAAGATCAATCACCAAACCCAGCTCGTGATATCGCAAACCCGTATGCTTCATCTTTCTCCCGTGCGTTTCTTGAGTAATCCACCAAGTCTTGGGACTACCAAAGCGAATCCGTGAATCGCCATTAACCTTGCGCTCTGATACCACTTGTTGAGGAATCGCGTTCTCTCCGATCGATTCCGGCGAACTTCACGAACCAAGAACACACATCAATTTACCCGGTTCGCGGTGTTAACTAACCGCTACGTCCGGTTAGGACCGAAAGGTGTTAACGAACCTCTCAGTCCCCAACTTCCATAGATGAATCGGAAACCACCTCCGACGGGTTTATACACGAAGATCACTCACCACCGATCACACTCTAATCGGTTTTACAAGAAGAAGAGAACCCTAGAAGAAAGACTAACCCAAGACCCAAAGATTACAAACCTCTCTGTATATCTTCTCTCTTGATCTCTCTCTCTCTCTCTCTCTCTCTCACAGAAGCTTGGGGAAGAAGACGATGACGTCTCTGCAACTCTCGTAACACTTTGAAACAGAAGACTTCCTCTCTTTATAAGGGATCCAATAACTTGCACATGCCTCTCACGTGCTTATGTATATTACCCATATAATGAGACCTTCTGGTTGAGCTAAAGTGTTTGCCACACTCAAGCTAAAACCGACATCTTCATGCTCCAATCTTCAAGCTTCTCTTATAACTTCAAGTTGAATCACTATCTCACAGTCAACAACAAACAAACATTCACTTATGAGTCTCTTATGCACATTATTTCTCAGTAGTTGAGGGGCAAACAACCAAACAGCCGTAACGAACATAAACGTCACAAGTTACAAAAAAAAAAAACATAAACGTCACAACCACAAGACGCGAGACCACTCGATGTGGCGATGGACACAACCGCATCTTCTTCACCGCTACCTCTAAACAAGTTACAACTCCATGCAACACAAAGAAACAAGTGACTTCCCAAGTTGGAGACTCGCGGGTAATATAAAAGTAAATCAGCTCATGCATCAACCCGGAGACAATAAACGTGGCCAACACTCCAGCATAAAAAGGACCGATTAACCAACCGGTAAATCGCTGAACCGGGATGTGGATAGTTGGACGGAGAACGGATGGGACCATGCGGTTCCATCTACGACTCCAGAAGTCTTGAAAAGAAGTAGCCAAGTAAGGCTCATTAAAAACCGGTTCAATTTCACAACCAAGAAGTGTAGAGAGTAAAGCACCCACTAAGACTAAGATGAATTCTAACTCAATGTAGACATGGATGGTAAGTAAAGACAAGAAAGCCAACCGAGGTAAAGTTGAATGGTAATTTTTACCGTAGATGTGCATTAAGAAGGAAAAGAGTAGAAATTTGAACGCAAGAACCCATTTAGGTTTGTTGTAGATTCGGTTTGAAGAAGGGTTTTGTTTGGTTTTGATGGGGAAACAAGTGAAGCAGAGGAAACGGGAGAAACTTGAAGGAAGTGGGCTTAAAGGTCCTTGATCAAAAGCGAAGAGAAGGAGCTTGAAATTTCCCAGCCATGTAAGGAAAAAATATGAGATGGTGCAGAAGTGGACAGAAGAAAAGAAGAGAAAAATAAGAAGAAAGATGATGAAGATGGGAAGAAGAGAGAGGAGACGAAGAAAACCTTTGGGAATTTTTGAAGATATGTAGTAACAGTAAGACATGGAGATTAAGACAGAGATACAAACCTTGACTAAGTTTCTCAACTCTTCTTCCATTTCTCTGTTTATCTCTCTCACTCTCTTCTTGGTTCTGTGGGTTGCTAATTGTGTGCAGCTTATAAAACATATCCACAAGAACATGAAAAACTTCAAAATCCATTAATTGTAAATAATTTTAATATTTGTCAACTTACGTCATTTTTATTTTTGGATTTATTATAAAACTATCTCTATTTTGTTAATTATAGTAATAAAAAGATCCAAATTATAGAGTCTGTTTTTGTTTTGTTCCTTTGCTTTAAAACATAAGTTAATTGGAAATCTAAGTAACACAAATGCTTCTGATTGTAAGCTGGTCGGCTAGTCACCTTTGTATCAACAAAAAGTTATTACAAGTTGGTATTTCTCCAGTTTCACTTATAAAAAAGTTATATAGGTAATGGTCTGCGTTAAATAAACGTCGAGAAAGAAATAAGTGTAAATGACTTGAAGAGAATTATCCGAAGTAGCACCTTTTAGAAATTAGTACAAAATCTACGTATAGTGAAATAGCATAATATAAAATAAAACCTAAAAATAGTCAAATAAAATAAGTGACCCATTTTATTAACGACCAGTCCACAACTAAAATCGCCTTGCTCTTGTAGCTCCTTCGGTCTGTGATGGTACTAGTTATGCAACATGGTACGTGTTCGATGCTCGAGCAAGGCACATAAGATAGAGAGATAGAGAGATCAACACACAAAGAACAAACCTTCTTAGCTCATATTTGAGGTATTCTAAAATACCTCTTTTTATTTTAATTCCTTTTTATTAAAAGAAAAAAAGTTGCTATGGCATAGCTGCAGACATCAACGCTGTAACTTCTACCTTTACATCTATCTCTTTGTATGGATTTATCGTGCCTGTAATGTTAAGGCAGACGGTTAAGCAAAGCCGCGGCTTTAAGCTCTGCAGATTTGGTATCGATGTAACGTTAGTTTTATTAATGAAAGATGCGTTCCAAAAAACAGGTTCAGTTCATAAATAACACAATATTTAATTATTAAATTTAGTGAATGTATTTTAAAATACACAAGCCAATAAAATTAAATCTAAATACAGATTTAAAAGCAGTCACTGAATAACAATCGATTCCAAAATATAGAAACTTAATTGTAAATCCTTTATCCATTATAAACCTCTTAATTTGTAAATACTATTCTTTTTTCAACACCAGTACAATTATATTCTTTTAGAAGAAAATTGAAAAACAATGACACTTTAATATTCTTCACAAAAAGTTTCGTTTTTTTTCCCTTTAAATGTTTATTTGTTTTTTATAGAGGTAATAAATATAAATTTTATTATTAACACAAACAGAGAAGATGTGAAATAATGACAGAGCAACTCTGTTCCGGCAAAGATATATCAGTCCTGTCGTTCTATTCAATGGCTGCTTCCTCTGAGACGGAGGTGACATCAGACAAGATGTCTGCGTCATTGTCTTCTTCGATGGTTAGGCTCGAGACTTCTTCGTTTAAGGAAGAGACATCGTCTTCTCCAGTGACAGATGGAGCTGGTGAAGCATCAGTGCTCGTGCACGTTGTGGTTGTGCTATGAGTGGATGAAGTATCAGAACTCGAACTCTCTGACGATGATGACTTTTGCTGAAGACTCCAATACATTATACTTGCGGTTAAGATTAACATCATCTTTTGATTCACCTGCATTGCAACAACGAGTTCCCACAAAATTAGAGACATAAGAAAACCTCAGAGATTTACATGATGTTTCATAAGATGATGGTTCTTACATCCACGATATCTTCTGGTAACAAGAAAACAGAGCAACCAAGCTTTCTTGCTACACTGACGATGTATGTAGCATTCAATCTCTTCTCGTCCTCTGTAAAAAGTTTAAATAGACAAAAGGAACGTTTGAAACAGAGTAGAGAGATAGTGTGAAGAGGTAAGTTTAGTTAAAGAGTAGTAATGGACCTGCTTCACCCTTGGTGACAAGGTTCCAGTTAACAACTCTTGGCTCAACCGCCCATAGAAGATCGAGGAAGAACAATCCGCTAGATAGACTCTTATCCTGTTGAAGTTTAGAGATTTGATTCAATATAAAAGCTTCTTCAGTGCTTTTTTTAAGGTTTGATGAAAGTCAAGAAGATGGAACCTTGAAGCTTTCAATCTGTGATTTACGTCCCATGATTTTGACTTTCCTGTTTGCCCAGCTGATGATTTCTGAATCAGTCATGTCTTTTCCTCGTGTCCGAGTTCGAAGATTCTTGAGAAGCTGGAGCATATGGGTTCTCATCAACTGCCATAAGAAGCCTGAGACATGTGTGTGTATATATATATACACCTACACTGTTATAAAATTTCTAAGGCTACAGAGCAGCTTTTAGGAAAAAAAATATATTGACGAGAAGTAATTACCGAGGATAAGCTTCTTATTCCCTTGAACTATGTCATTTCCAGCTACATTTACGAGCGAGAATCTCATCTCTTTCCCAATCCTCACGACTTGATTGCAGTTCTCTACTTTCTTAAACGGCATCTTGATCGGTGGTTTTGAAGCATGCTTCCAGTTAACTGAGCCTGGATAGACCTTGTCAAGAACTTCAAGAAGGATCCATCTGCATCAAAAATATACGACTTTCTCATAAACTTAAGGACCAAAAAGATTCTAAGTATTTCCCAAACCACAACATCAGTCTTCTCTTCACAGAAAGCTTACCCGTTTCTAACATCTTCAAACACATTAGTGACATAACTGTCAATCCCTAGGCTGTTAATCCATAGACGGTAGCATCTTTCATCTCTGCAACTCTGTATATCCTCAGTCATCATCTCCGCAAAGGAGAACCTGCCATCAGTGCTTAGGCCATTCCTGCAGCAGGTACAGGGAAGATAGTGTAAAAATCCAGTGCGTTAAGACGAAAACTGTTATCTTATATGATCCTTTACCGACCTTTCGTGAAAAATCTGTGCAACAAATGCGAGATTTAAATACGAAGACCCCTCAACTATCTCTTCTGCAGTCAAGTACCGTTTGCAGTTCATTCTCTCTGCGTGTTCAAGGACCATGTTAGCCCTTTCAAGATCATCCTCGGCGTTTAGAGTAGCTGGATCGCAGTGTTCAGGTGCAAGAACATTGAGAAGGAAAGCATAGGCTTTTGCATCCTGGATATTCAATAACAATCTCGACCATTAAGAATAAGTTGAAGTACCATATAATTTCATAACTTATGGGCGAACTTGTTTTTTCCTATTCAAACTGATATTGCTTCAGCGTGTTGGAGAGAGTTATGTGTTGGGAACTGCTTGGTGAATCTGTATATCTCTTGAATGAAGCTTATCAAGGGATAAAAAAGGAATGCTAAACTGCTAGTTGTAAAGACAAATACCTTCAGATCCGAAGAAAAGTTTCCAACGGTTTTTTTGTAGCCACCTTTCTTGAGATGGAAGTTCAACCATTTGAGCAACATTTTCTCTGGGGGTAATCTCAGAAATTCTTCTATATCCTGCAACAGACAGGAAACTTGTTATTGTTATTTACAACAAACGTACACTATGGTAAAAAATTGGCGAAGAGATATGCTTGGTCATTACCTCGTTGTCCTCCACCAACTCAATAAGCTGAGGCATCTTCTTCAAACTTAGATCAGCGAGGAGCTGAATCTGCAGTTCCCAAGTCCCAACATTAGTTAGTAAATCATCAAGCACAAACACAAAGGAAGGTGAATATAGAAAGACAAGTGTGGACCTTTATGAGTTGGGAGATCAATCCAAGCACCAGATGAGGCTGCAAAAACAAGAAAAGCCTTCAATGGTCACAATCTCTATATTTGTATAAACATATATATTTAAAAAAACAAGCAAGCTAGCAAAGCATACTCGTCCTTCAGCCAAGTCCTGTGTCCCAATATTAACCACACTACAGCCAACAGCTCTAGCAGAGTTGAGACAGAGCGTATGATTCTCATTTCTCTCCCACGGATTAAGTACTCTCTTCGTGTTGATCGCCCGCTCATCAATTGTCCCAGGAACTGCTATATTAATAAACTTACTGCGCCAAAAAGGAAAAAAACAGAGAATCAAGTCAAACCAAATCTAAGATGCAATCCAAAAACACAAAACCTCTCTCTAAATATACCATAAAAGCACACCATCTTTCACAAGCTCATACAAACCATCAGAATCCGGATCCAAAGGAAGAAACTGCCTCAAAAACGGATCATCCCCAAGATATCTATTGATATGATGCACAAAAGAGCCCTTCTCAGACTGATTAATCGTATGAAGAGTCGTTGAGTTAGCTTTAAGAAACGACGCAGAGTGCTTAAGACCACCAGATTTATCAGCAGCTTTATCTCTCAAAATCAAATACACCTGCAAAAAATTAAATCTCACTTAATCAAAACATTCACACATCCGTTAAAGAGATTCATTCACAAACTAACTCTGAGGAAGGATTCGAAATCAAGATCATCGACGGTTGCGTAATCAGAAGCCAAAACTGGTAAGGTTTCTCTGATTTCTTTCTCCTTGAAAGCAGAGGTGAGTGACTTCACCCTCGCTAACACAGGTGGAAGATCCTCTAACGTAACTTTATCTCTCTGATTCTTCAACGCCGCAAACTAAAAAAAAAAAACACGAATCCGAAACGTTTTATTATATATACAGATTCAAAAAAACGAGATTGCAGATTCGGGAGTTACCTTGGAATTGAGAGAGCGAAGCTCCACTTGTGTGAGCTGGCTTTGTAGCAACGGATCCGAAACGATCACTCCCACGCCTGACATCAACCTCTCTCTCTATCGTTCGAATCTCTCTGCAACAAGAATCAGTTGTAAGCTTCGTGAATCGGATAGAGAAAATAAATAAAAATTAATTGATCGGAAGATTCGTTCATACTTAAAATAGCAAAAAGATTTAACAGTTATCCAAATAGATATGATATGGCTCCGATTTCGCGAAAAAAAAAATCCAGAAATCTAGGAGGAATTTTAAAAAAAACGAACACAATGTATCGAAATAAGCGTGTAAATGTGTCTGTGTTTGCTTTAACCTAGAAAAAAAATTAAAATTCGCAATGTGAACGTGCAGAAGACGACGAGATCACGAGGATCGATACCAATGTGAAGACGATGAGGGAGAGGATCGTTTATTTGCTTCCTCTGAGAGCAAAGCGATGAGGAGAGAGAGAGAAGGAGAGAATTGAATGCGTCTTCTTCAGAGGCGCGAGTAGGGTTTTTGGTTTATTTTATTTTTATTTTTATTTATATAGGGGCTGTGTGATGACGACATTTGGAGAAAACGGTGGACCTCACGCTATAACGACTTGTTTAGGTGTCATTTCTAATTCAGACCACTTATTATTTTTCTTTCATTTTGACCCCGATTTGTTTCTGATTGATCAGTTTAAGACAGAAAATAATTTCATTAACTATAAGATTATTTATTTTGTTACTGCTTATTTAGTTTCCCATAACAAAAATCGTAAACTGATAGTGGCAAATAACAAAAGTTTTGTTGGTTTGTAACATTTATTTTACAGGATATTAGATTTGTTTATAGATTTTTTTTGTTGCTTTGCCATTAAGGAGAGTTTGTTTATTTTATAGGTGGTGAATTAGTTTTTCAAAGAATCTTAATTGACCAAAAACGTTGTGGCAAATAACTAAATTCTTTGTTAATTAGTTTGGAACATTTTTTTTTTCTTCAGGATATTGGATTTGTGATGAAAAAAACAAACAAGATCTCTTTCCCACCGACGTTTTCTTGTCTTGTATATTGAAGATTTGCAGACCCATGTGTGCTATGCACGACGTCCTACAATAAATACTGCCATTCTATATTCAGAAATGACGCTTTCGGCAGGTCTGTGTGATATTAAATTGAATATTTTCTTTGTTTATCTACTGATTTACTGACAAAAAAAAAATCTACTGATTTACTGTTTTTGACTTTGGATGGGCTTTCTATGGGCTTTGATCTAGTTTCGTATGGGTTCCAATTTATGGGTTTTCTAGCTTATTTTGTAATCTCAATGACGTATATCCTTTGTGTTTTGTGATAAATATGTTTTACGTTTTCAATAAAGAATAAAATGATTTGCTATAGATTTTGTAACAACTTTACAATCTTTTATGTGATTTTATGAAATGTACACAGTAGAAGAAAAATTAAGGGCATCATTATCAATAGGACTGGGAATTTTAATCATTATTCACGGGTTTTGTCCCGTTTGATCCTCTGCGGAGCGAATATAGATTCATTAATTAGAAAATTTTGAATCGCGAATGCGGATGCGGATTGATTATTTTTTGTAGTGCAGGTCCGTTGAAATTGAATCGCGAGTACCCCGTCAACCTGCAAAACTAAAAAATATATATATATTTCTTAAAAAGAGTCATTTTCCTTTTAAATGATTTTATTTCAAAAAATATATAGAAATACGAATATATAGATTACTTTAATTATAAATATATTATTTGTATTTTAAAAATATATAAAATATTACTTTTATTTTAAAAGTATATAAAACATTATTTTATTATTAGATGTAGGTCTTCCGTGGCGGATGTAGATTTAATATTTTTTTATTGGATCAAACGGATTAAAATTTTAGTTTACAAAAATTACTAAATCTGAGGGTCAGGATGGATTTGATCCGCAACTTAGCTCTAGGCATCACCACTTGTATTGCAATTTTGAAGTGTATTAGGTAGAGCAACATGTTTCAGGTGACTTCTGTTTTATAATAGAGAGAAGAACAAGCTTGAAAATCGAGGAAACATTTTTATATGCGAATTAGGTAGAGCAAGTTTATCCAGATTTTTTTTTCAATAACAGGAAGGAAAAGTGATGTGTCTGTTTTAAGTAACCACGTGAGACATGACCCTGATGATATATATAGCCTAGGGGCCGCATCCTATATATATAGATAGGGGTGGACACAGATGGAATAATGTTATTTTTTAGATATTTTAGATCAAATTAAAATGAATAACGAATCAAATCAAATTCAATTAATAAAATTCTAAATCCTATATATATATATATATACTATATGTCTTTAAACAGAATCCAGGGGGAATGTCTTTCCCTTTTTCAAATCATAGATTATGTGGGTATTGGTATTGGTATACTCAATTAAGATTATTTCTTATATACAAATAATAATTTTATTTTAAGATTATGAAAATGTATGTTGATTGAAGTTTGAAAATAAAAATTGTCTGGTTTGAATCGGTTTACTTGTTTTTAATAACTAAAATAAAAAACACACTTGAAGATGTTCAATAATTTAATAAATACTAAAATGTTTTTGAATGATGATTTAAGGCATATATTCTAGTTAAATGAATTTCAGCAAGTATAAATTGTGTCATCTATGTTGTCTTTTAATCTTTTCATATATAAGAACATTCTAATAAGAATCCTAATATTTTTAAAAATAATAATAAATTAATCATAAACATGTTCTTATAAGCAATATAGCTAGTTTTTTTATAACAGAAACTAGTTCTCCAGTACATAAGGATTAATAAGTATTATAGTGAATTAATAGTGTATATGGCATATGATGTTTTTATTTCATCGGAACATGTATAAAAACTAAAAATGAGTATATATGAGTTAATATCAGTTTAAATTGTTTTCACCAAAATTAAAAACCAAGATCATAATAATAAAAAATCAAAACTATATATATTGAACTCAGAACTGAAATTTTGTATAATAATCATTTATCAAGTATTGCGCTAGAAACTTTTCGTACCTAATGCTCTACATTTGGGGCATTTGCCACGACTAATCGTACCTAATGCTCTACATATAAATAGAAAGTAGTTGCTAGATGAGTTGGTCTGTCTTTTATACCATTTAAATAAATATTAGTATAGGAGTGAAATTCCAAAATAATTCATATCAACTGCTTGTGATAGGTCGTCGTCTACTAACATGGATTTATTCACTACTCAGTTTAATCAATGTCTCGTGGATCACGAGATAATATCAAAAAATGTCGACGTGAACTTCACATGGGTCGATATAAAATACCCATGCGATTTCCAAATATAGATCACTGCACAAAGCACTACTTTCTTCTAAGGTCAGCTCTCTCAACATCCCTTTGAGCCATCTCTTCTATATGCTTGTATTTTGTCTAGGATTAAGTTATTTTTCGTAACTTAAGGTTATAATAATGTTCACAAGATTATCAACCGCAGGCAAAAGAGATGGCCCAAAAGCTGGAAGCAAAGGGTGGTAAGATAGGAGATGCATGGGATGATGGTGTTCACGAAGGTGTTAGAAAAATATATGTAGGACAAGGCCAAGATTGTATAGCCTTCATCAAGTTTGAGTATGTCGATGGTTCTGAAGTGGTTGTTGGGGACGAACATGGAAAAAAGACGCTGCTAGGAACTGAGGAGGTAATAACAATATATATACTATATATTATGTTGAATGTGTCAGTTTGTTCACTATTGGTTTTGTACTGAGAGTTTTTTTTTTTGGGTTTTCGTAGTTTGAGGTTGATGCAGATGACTACATCATATACGTAGAAGCTTTCCGAGACAAAGAAACTGAAGAAACCATCGTGGATCTTAAGTTCGAAACTTATAAAGGCAAAACCAATAAGCACATCGAGACGAGTCCAGGGGTTAAGTTTGTTCTCCAGGGTGGGAAAATCGTTGGGTTTCACGGGCGTTCGAGTGATGTTCTACACTCCCTTGGAGCCTACGTTATTTTCCCATCCACTCCTCAATTGCTAGGAAAGTGGATCAAGGTAGTAGAAAAGATTCTCTTAAAACACAGACACAACCCATCTAAGTAAGGATTTTTATTGGTAATACTACAGAATCGTAGAATCGTAGTAATACATAGATTCTTTATGTTTTGAAGTTTTCACAATTAAAAAAAATATATTAAACTGTTATTATAAAGTCCTTTTTGTGATTAACTATTCTATACAATTTGTAACGAATAAAATTAAATATACATAATTCTCTTCTTTTTTTTTAATTTACAATTTATCATTATCACCTAATAAAAATGCATTGAAAAAAATTTAATATATACTTTTTGATACATTTTTCTTCCTAAAATATGGATTATTAATTTATAAGGTGGACCAAAAAGGACAAGCTCCAGGGCCAAGATGTTCACATGCCATAGCACAGGTGGGAAACAAGATTTACTCATTTGGTGGCGAGCTCATACCAAATCAACCCATCGACAAAGACCTTTACGTCTTTGACCTCGAGACTCGGACTTGGTCCATTTCTCCAGCCAGGGGAGACGTTCCTCACCTCTCGTGCTTAGGCGTCCGTATGGTGTCTATTGGATCAAACCTCTATGTCTTTGGAGGCCGAGACGCTTCCAGAAAATACAACGGTTTCTACTCTTTTGACACGACCAAGAACCAGTGGAAACTGCTAACTCCGGTCGAAGAAGGACCCACTCCTCGTAGCTTCCACTCTATGGCAGCCGACGAGAACAACGTTTATGTTTTCGGTGGAGTGAGTGCTACGGCGCGGCTCAAGACCCTAGACGCTTACAACATCGTTGAGCAGAAGTGGGTGCAGTGTTCGACTCCAGGTGAATCGCTTAGCATAAGAGGAGGAGCCGGGCTTGAAGTGGTGCAAGGGAAGGTTTGGGTGGTTTATGGATTCACCGGGTGTGAAGTAGATGATGTTCATTACTACGATCCTGTTCAAGACAAGTGGACACAAGTGGAAACATTCGGTGAGAAGCCTTCCGCAAGGAGCGTTTTCGCCAGTGCGGTGATTGGTAAACACATTGTGATATTTGGAGGTGAGATAGCGATGGATCCACAAGCGCATGTAGGTCCAGGGCAGTTGATTGGTGGGACGTTTGCTCTGGATACAGAGACATTGAAGTGGGAGAGGTTGGATAAGTTAGGTGAAGACGAGGAGACTCCAAATACTAGGGGATGGTCGGCTTCCACGAGTGGAACTATTGATGGTAAGAAAGGGCTGGTGATGCATGGAGGGAAAGCTCAGACCAATGACCGCTTTGATGATCTCTTCTTTTATGGGATTAAGTCTGCTTAAATGCTTTAAAACACTGTTTGATGATAATCGTTTGAAGTGGTGTTGTGTGTGTATGTGGTTCAATAAGGGAGGATCTTGATGGTTGATACGATATGATCCTTTATCAGGTTGTTCGTTTTTTTTTCTGTTTCCGTATGTTTGTCTCGTGTTGGTATCAATAAATTACTTGCATGTTTAATAATTTTGTATTATGTCAGTGTGTATGTATTCTATAATGTATGACATATTTTGTTATAAATAAATGTGACAAGAATCCTCATGAGAAAAATTGAAATTTAGTAAAAAGATGAATATGTGAGTGTGAAATTCGTTCTTGCTTTTTCTTCTTAATATATCCTCTTGTTTTTATTATTATTTTTTTTTCACTAAAATACTTCATCAAATTAAAGGTAGAGAATGAGCCCAAAACAGGCTCAAACCAAAGTTTACTACAAAGATAACAATTTTGTCTAAGTTCATGTTTAACATCTTACATTACCATATTAAATAAATAAATTTTTTTCTGGATTCAGTCATTTATAGTCAAAATATTAGTCATTTTTATTAATAAGTTTTTAATTTCGTTTTGGAGTCGACATCGAAATTAATGCATCAATAAATAAATCTGAGTTTCGCTATTTGATTTTGATCCGTAATTTGCTCTGTAAGTTCCGCAACGGTGATCTGTCACGAGTCCGTAGCCCAAGTCCTTAGCGCAAATGGAATATAATATTGATAGTTGGACTAAGATTTTGACGGATCAATCGATAAGTAAGGCATATAAGGATTAAGTCCTTGTGCACGTGGCATCTGATGGTTGGTTCGGTGAACTATTGTGTTCGATTGTGCGAAAAAATTTTCATTCCCGACCGAAGGTGAAAAAAGAAAATCAGAGGTGGAGATGAAAAGGCGATTTCTCTCCGTCATCGATTGTAAATAGCCTTCTTCTGTGGTAGATTTAAGGATATACTAGCTTTCTTGTTGTTTGTTTTTCCGTTTGAATCGATATGGGGATTTCTTCGATTTAGGGTTTCAAAAAGTTTCTTGTTTTAATTCGTTTTCAAACTGTTTTCAATTGAGGATCTTTTGGTTTGTAGTTAGGGTTTCAATTCGTTTTCGTGTATGACTGTTTGGAAACATCAATTGTTTTCAGCGAAGATTCGATTTGTTTTCTTATACTCGGGTTTTGTATGAGTTTGCTTTAATGTGTATTTAAACTCATTAGTTAATGTGTTCTTAATCTTTACTCTCTTTTTTTTCTTAAGGATTTCATCTTCGGAAACACCATTGGACAACCAGTTTTGATTCGGTTCCTTAACAATTCAAACAAAAACCAAAAAAAAAAAAATACTAAGATATTCCTAAGGATTCATTGGTGAATCTCACATTTGCATATGCTCTAACAGTCCACGGTTAATTGGGTTAACTTTAGATAATGATATGTAATTAAGTAAGTAACGCAAAACTATAGAAGTAAAATCAATTAATCTTACTAAATTCGTATGTACAAAGAAGAAAAAAAGCTTTTTATTACTCGTAAATAGGAAGAAAACAAAAGATTACTGGTCACCGCCCCGGATACTAGGCATGCAATGCAACTAAGCCCACGAATTTGTCCGTTTTCTTCACACATCTCAACTCGAATGACTTCTTATGATTACATCACCCATGCATATCTTACGTTACTACTACCACCTTTCAGTTAGCATAACAAAAATTTGCTCTATAACAAGCCCATGGTATAAGATTTAAAGATTTCACCAGTACTAAAGTCTATAGGGAGAGAACAAGATAGAAAATGGGTACCAACGATACCAGAATATTTATGCAATTTGCAGTTCTTGCAATGGCTCTAACCGCTGCAATAATGGTGAAAGAAGTTACAAGCCTTACTGTTTGTAAAATCGACACAAACGAGATGCAGAAATGTCGTCCAGCCGTCACTGGAAACAGCCCGCCGCCTCCAGTCAACGAGTGCTGCGTAGTGGTCAAATCAGCTGATCTTGCATGTTTTTGCAGATACAAGTTTTACCTCCCAATTTTAGGAATTGATCCATCTAAAGTCGCGGCTCTTGTAGCCAAATGTGGCGTTACAACAGTCCCTAGCAATTGCCGTGGTATAAACACACATATATTTAATTGTATGTTTTTATGTGGTTATTGAGTTATTAGGATCTCTAAAATAAAGTGTTTTACGTTAATTTTGTCTTTCTGCAGCTTGAAGGATTGAGCTTGAGACAGGTCTCTATGGTACTGTCAAAGAGTTGGCTAGATATCTTGTCTTGCATCTGAATTTGTTATGTTTCTTTTAGCATGTTCTGATCCAAATAATCACAATTTGTAATGATTTTCTACGTACCTTAGTTATATTAATAAAAATGGTAAAGCAGTACTTTTATTTTTCTTGACTATCCATTCATCACGGCTTTTCCTGAGGAGAACGGTTTACTTTTCATAAATCATAGGAAACTGAAGTTAGGCAACTTTCTCTACCTCTGATACTGGTGTTGTGACTTGAATCGCTATGAATCTGACAGTTCACAAAGACAGAGACATATTGTTACATACGACAAGACAATATTTTGATCTTTATACAATGTATGACTTTTCTTTTTTAGTTTTAAAATCTGTATGATTTGTAAAGGATAAAACAAAATACAAAGACTAAAACCCATTTGGTCACGTACATGGGGGCAGGTTCTTTCATTAGACATATGCATGCAACTAGGGTCTCTCACATTTGTCCATTTGCATACGAATTCAAGACGTCTACGGCACTGAGTCTTTCACTGAAAAGACAGTGACATGACTCTACTTTTTACCAACGTTCAGTTGTAGCAGTATAAGTAGCTTATTAGGTTTAAGCGTTTGACGATAGAGTTGAGATAGAGAGTAAATAAAAAAAGACAGAAATGGGTAAGAACAATGCCATCATCATAGCTCTTGCTATGGTTTTAACCACCGCTATGATGATGGAAGAAGCTACGAGTTATCCTATATGTAACACCGACACAAACGACTTGCAGAAATGTTATCCAGCTGTAACTGGAAACAGCCCGCCGGGACCTGACTGCTGCGCAGTGGCTAAATCCGCTAATCTTGAATGTCTCTGCCCGTACCTCACCCAGTCCGGGCTTGACCCATCAAAAGTCAAGAGTGTTTTAGCCAGTTGTAACGTGGGAAATCCCTCCTGTTTGTCATGGTAAAAATCAAATTAAGTACCATTAACGTATTGGAAAATTGTTGTGTAAAAAGCGAAACTATTACGTTAATTTATTCATGTTTGTTCTTTTTTTTTTTAACACGTAGATTCAAGAAAGAAGCTGGAGACAGCCGCAGACTTTGCCTCGACCTGAAGAGTCTATAAGTTATAATATGTTTGATAAAAAAAAAAGGGTTATAATATGTCATTTAGCGTTGTTATTCAAATAAATTGCCAAGTTTTCTCTTATTTTCAGTCGTCCTTTTTAATGTAATGTTTAATCAACATCTACGTCCTTTTGATGTTGTGATTCAAATAAATCATGTTTAGAGTAAGGTTTGCAATTTGTTTGAATTATTCAGGGCATCCACATTAATAAACTCATAGTGGGGTTCATGGTTTTATTATTTTATTCTTTTTTTTTTTCGTCTGACTTTTTTCATTTAAAAAAAAAAAATAAATAAATAAATAAATAAGGGACCAATCGCGGGCCGCCACGTGGCGTGGGGCTCACGAAAATAGCAGTGAACCGGTTCAGCAGAGACAACCTGCACGAGCTGGGGTTCATCCCTATTCATTATTATAATAATTTTTTTTTTTTTTGGGAATTGTGTGAACTTTCCCATGATCCTTTGCTGTAATTGCTCTCATGGCTTTCAAACCATCATCTAACCTGCAGCACTTAACAGATTAATTGACCTACGAATAGCTAAAATCAATTAATCAATCTATTACAAAACTCAGAGAAGTCATTAACTTTTACGGAATTGAACCAACCAATTGCAAGAGGTAGAAATAAAAAATGGTCAATGTTCATTACAAATAAGTGTTTGGTCTGGGTCTGAAGTGCTACAGCCACAACGGGTTCATGCATGCAGTAGCGACCCTGGGTACAAGCAATATAAGCACGTGCTTCTGACCCTAATTAGATTATCAAACTTTTCAGTTTTTAGATTGTCAATATTTTCAGTAGCGTAGTTGGTTTAAGGTTAGATTTGTTGTGTGAGATATATCAGGTTCGAGGTGTGGTAGTTCTGTGATTTTAATTAAAAGGTCAAATTTTTCTTTTTTGCTTCCGACCATATTTTCTTCGGACCGGCCTGCATGCACGCCGAGCGGAACGTGACCGTTTCTTCTGCTCGTCTTTGGATGATGATGTCATGAGCCATGTTGACTCGGTGACCAATACCACCACGTGTGATCGTGAAGACCATGTTATGGGACCTGCCTTACCTTCAATCAATCATCCACCCCCATCTCAACCAAGAGAAAAAACACTGTTTTAGAGTTTATAGCAATTGGCCAATGGCCGAGTGAATAATTATTCCTTTTAATCATTTTTTCTAATAATAAGTTTTACAGAAAACAACAATCAAAAAGTATGAGTTTTAGTTATTTTTGAGATCATAAAGTTCAGCCAGCATTAAACGGATACGGATAAGAAAATGAATGGTTTTGGACATCACCAAAACTGTTGAAAGTACCAAGTAAATTTTCAATTTCATGCATATTACTATATATACTAGTGCATGCTTATAGTTTAGCTGATTTTGGAAACAGTTATAGGTCGTAGTAATAATTAACAAGTAGGTGATAATAAATGTAGAACGCAATTACCAACCTGTAGAACAACCAAAATTTTTTACTTTTTTTTTTTAATTATACAAAAAAATCATGGTCTCCAGTCGACACTAGCCATGTGTTAGCAATCCACATTTTTTGGTCAACATGTCGGTTTCATGTCTCTGGCGATGTCAAAAATTTTATTATTTAAGATGTCCGAGTAGTTTAACTAGATGTTTCATGATTAAAAGAATATTTTTTAAAAATCAACAGGAAATTTAACATGAAATTTAAGAAGCTCTTTACAACAGAACATATCAACATGAGAGAACGGCCGACCGAATTGCTTACAAAGGTTTTACCATTTACAACATTTTCGTACGTACTATCCAAGTTGGAGGTTCAATACATCTCACCACTAACTTGAGGGGTTATTGAGATAAGTACTTATATTTGTTGTAATCTGTATATCAGCATATTTCTATCGATATTAGATTAACCCCGTTTTATATAGACTTTAGAGCATTATCAACGCAGAAGTTTATGATGAGTGCTTAAAAAAAGAAATAATATACTAGTATATGGGATCCACAGAAAAATGAAGCACATACGCTTATTGTGCTTCTTTAAGCGTCGTTGTTTGTCCTGTACGCGGATCCTACTAACACGTGGCGATGCGCGATTAGTCTGTTTTTCAATTTTAAAAAAAAAAAAAATAATTCAATAAAGAAAAAAATGAAAAAGAAAAACAAAAACAAATAAACACCTCTGTGCGTTAATGGTGCTCTTACATTCTATGTTATACATACACCTTTTCTTAAGTATTTTATTTACTGATTTGATCCAAATAAATCACACAATTTGAAATGATTTCGATATACCTTGTGTATATTAATGAAAATGGTAATGCGGTATACTTTTCTTTTCTTAACTATCCACTCATGCATCATGGCTTTTCCTGACGATCGAGAACCAAACGCAAAAACTGTCTCTGGTATTGTGACTTGAAACTTGAGGAAGCTGATTGTTCACAAAGACAGAGACCTGATGTTACATACGACAAGACAATATTTTGATCTCTATACAATAACCAATTACTTTTAAACATATATATATATATATATGAATGTAAAGGATTAGGATAAACAAAATACAAATACCACAAACTTATTGGGTCACGTACATGAGCAAGTTCTTTTACTAGCCATCGGGAGACTTGTGCATGCAACTACAGTATCCCACATTTGTCCATTATATTTTCTTACGAGTTCTCGACGTCTACGGCACTGAGTCTTCACTAAATAGATCGTGACATGACTCTACGTTTTACCAACTTTTGTAACTCACGTTATACCAACTCTCACGTAGCATTATAAAAAGCTCATTAGATTTAAGGGATTCACGATAGAGTTGAGGTAAAGAGTGAACTAGAAAAAAAGGACAGAAATGGGTAAGAACAATACCATCATCATAGCTCTTGCTATGGTTTTAATCACCGCTATGATGATGGAAGAAGCTAAGAGCTATCCTATATGTAACACCGACACAAACGACTTGCAGAACTGTTATCCAGCTGTAACTGGAGACAGCCCGCCGGGACCCGACTGCTGCGCTGCCGCAAAATCCGCTGATCTTGAATGTCTCTGCCCGTACCTCACCCAGTCCGGGCTTGACCCATCAAAAGTCAAGAGTGTTCTGGCCAGTTGTGACGTGGACAATCCTTCCGGTTTGCCATGGTAAGAACCAAAGTTCCATAAAAAATATATCGGAAACTGGTTGAGTAAAGTCTTACGTATAATTGTTATGTTTCTTCTTTTTATAACACGCAGATTCAAGAACTGAGCTGGATACAGCCGCAGACTTTACCTCGACTTGAGAAGTCTATTAAGTTATATATTTTTTAGGGTTGTGATTTAAATAATTGTCAAGTTTGCACTTATTTTCAGTCGTCTTTTCTAATGTAATGTTAAATTAAATTGATTTAACATCAACGTACGTCCTTTTGGCTTTGTGTTTCAAATAAAGCATGTTTAAAGTAAGGTTTGCAATTTGTTTGAACTATTCATGGTTTTGCAACAACCATCACTTAACCTGTAGATAACAAATCAACTGACCTACAAATATTTACAGTCAATTAAATCATTCTATTACAAAGAACTGAACCAGTCATTACACCGAAAAAAGAATTCGAACCAACCAATTGCAAGAAGAAGAAATAAAAAGCGAATGTTCATTACAAAAGTGTTTAGTCTGGATTGCCACGAACGGGTTCATGCACGCGGAACGTTACCTTTCTTTTGCTTACCTTTGGATGATGATGTCATGACTCCTGCATGCTATGGGACCCGGCTTACTTTCAATCAATCATCCAACGCCATCTCAACCAAGAAAAAACACTGGTTTAGAGTTCATCGCAGTGAGCCAATGGCCGAGTTAATAATTATACATCTTAATCATTTTTTCTAATAATCGTAAGTTTACAGAAAAAAAAACAATCAAAATGTATAAGTTTAAGTTAATTTTGAGATCATATATTCAGCCAGCATTAAAGGGATACGGATAAAGAAATGAATGGTTTTGGACATTCACCAAAACTGTTGAAAGTACAAGTAAATTTCCAATTTCATGCATATTACTATATACTACTACTATACTAGTGCTTGCTTTATAGTTTAGCTGATTTTGGAAACAGGTAGGTCGTAGTAATAATTAACAAGTAGGTGGTAATAAATGTATAACGCAATAACTATGCTAATAACACAAAACAACCAAATTTTTGTTTACTAGTATTTAAGATGTCCAAGTAGTTTAAACTAAATTTGTCATGATTTAAAAACATAAATTTTTAAAAACTAATCACAGAAAATTTTAACTTTTTTCAGATAAAAGCATTCACAATCGGTAAAGCTTGTTTCAAAACTCAAGAACAAAAGTATGAGAATCTTTTATATTTTGGCTCTTCAAAATTTAAATTGCAAGACTATCCTTAAAGAGAATTCTCACAAAGATTCTCAAAAAAGAAAAAAAATAATTATAAATATTAATAAATAATTAAAGGTATTTTTTCATAATTTCAAGTACCCACAATAAACCATAAATATTTTTATATTTACACTTGAGAAATTTGGGTTGAGAACCTTATTAGAGATGTATCATGATAAAACAATCACAAGTTCAAATGATGTAATAATAATATTTTTTTATTGGATGAATTGTATATGTTTTAAATTTTCATTTACTAAAAATTATATAGCAATTGCAGTAATGTTACTCCCAAGTCCCAACATTAAATTATGGGAAGAGTACTTTTTTTTTATCAACATGTGAAGAGTACATATAAGCTGAAATTTTTGTGTAAAAAAGAGAGTTTTTTTTTTTTGCGTTTATCAACAGATATTAGACATTTATTTAATGAAAATTTATTTTTTAAAGTGGAAAGCGTATAGAAAATGAAAAGTTTTTTGTTTTCCCCGTTTAAATTACAAGAAGAATTCCACAAACCCATAAAAGCTCTTCTCGCTTCTCTCTCTCTTCTCACTCACTCACACCGAATCTGTTTCCAAGAAGAACGAAGTTGGTGAAGTCGCCGCCGGGACAACACCGTTTCACTAATGATCACACACATGCAACATAACCCATCAATGTTTGGGTTTCGAGCTTCCAAGCTCCTACTCTCTGTTCTCTTCTTGATCCAGCTTCTATCTACTCAACTCCTTGCTCAAAGATCCAAATCTCCATGGCAGACACTCACTGGTAAACTCCTTTATCTCTCCACTCCTTCAAATTCAATACCTTTTCCCCTGTGAAGTTGAGGAAAAAAAAAAACAGAACCAAACGAAGTGAAAGTGCTTAACTTTCTCACTCTGTTTTTTTTTTTTTTTTGTGTAACTTAACTTTCTCACTCTGTTTCACTGATCAAAAGAGACGATTTTTGTTTCAAAGTTTGATCCTTTTCTTGGTTTTTGTTTGGTAGGAAAGGCACCTCGTGTCATAGCACGAGGTGGGTTTTCCGGGTTATTTCCAGATTCAAGCCTCAACGCTTACAATTTCGTAGCGCCCACAAGTGCTCCCAACACTGTCTTGTGGTGTGATGTGCAACTCACAAAGGATGGAGTTGGGATTTGCTTCCCTTCTGTGACCATGTACAATGCTTCCAACGTCCAAGATGCTTACCCTAAAAAGAAAAACTCTTACCTCCTTAATGGAGTCCCTACACAAGACTGGTTCACCATCGATTTCACCTCCAAGGATCTCCAAACCGTGTTCTGTAAGTTTTAACATCACTTTGTGTCTTTTTTATTTGGTCCTTAGGTTTTTTTTTTACATATCTGTGGCAGTGATCCGAGGGGTATTATCACGGTCAGATGCATACGATAACAACCAAAACGTGATTTCAACGGTTCAAGAGATAGCTACACAGTTGAAGAAACCTAAGGGTTTTTGGTTAAATGTTCAGCACGACGCTTTCTACACGCAACACAACCTTAGCATAAGCAGCTTTCTGCTAACAGTTTCAAAAACTGTGATCATTGACTACATCTCTTCCCCTGAGGTGTCTTTCTTCCGGAACATCCGGTTTGGTAAAACCAGACCAAAGTTTGTGTTCAGGTTTCTAGACAAAGATGAAGTTGAGGTGTCAACTAATCAAACCTATGGATCTCTCATGAAAAACCTAACTTTCATCAAGACCTTTGCTTCAGGGGTTCTTGTTCCAAAGTCTTACATATGGCCGGTGAAAGACCAGTACTTGCTTCCACATACATCTTTTGTTAAAGATGCTCATAGAGCAGGGTTAGAAGTATATGCATCAGGCTTTGCAAATGATTTTGATATTGCGTATAACTATAGTTATGATCCATTGGCTGAGTACTTATCTTTTATGGATAATGGGGACTTCTCTGTTGATGGTTTTCTATCTGATTTTCCATTAACCGCATCGTCAGCTGTTGGTAAGTAACATGTCTTCTTACATATCACAATTAGAAAGTGAAACTAAACTTTTCTTAAATTCCTCAGATTGTTTCTCTCATCTTGGAAGTAATGCTTCAACACAAGGTATGTTATTGTTAATGTCATGTCAAAAGTAACTAATGGTATAAAAGTTTCATCCTCTCTATATGGTTCATGATGGTGCAGTGGATTTTCTTGTTATATCCAAGAATGGAGCAAGTGGAGACTACCCTGGCTGCACTGACTTGGCCTATTCAAAGGCTATCAAAGATGGTGCTGACGTCATCGATTGCTCTGTTCAAATGTCATCAGACGGGGTCCCTTTTTGCTTAAACTCAATTGATCTTGTAGAGAGCACAAACATTATCCAAAGTCCGTTCAAAAACCGCTCAGCAACTGTTCCTGAGTTTAACTCACTTGCTGGATTATACAGTTTTAATCTGGCATGGTCTGAGATTCAGACTTTGACACGTAAGTTTCCCACGTTACTAAGTCTTGTCTTCTTGATTTAGCTTCTTGTCTTTGTTTCTTACTTCTTATCTGTTTTGCAGCTGCTATTACAAACCCTTATAACGGGGGTTTTAAGATGTTTAGGAATCCGAGGGAGAGAAGTTCAGGGAAGCTTGTTACACTCTCCCAGTTCCTGAACTTTACCAAAAACTCCAGCTCACTAGTTGGTGTTTTGATCAACGTTGAGGTATCACTTTTAAACCAATGTTCCAGAAATAGCCAGCCCATATATAACTAGCCGATAAATTTGGATTTTTTTTTTTGGTTTAATTATAAAATCATTTTGGTGAATTACAAAAATAAGATATACAACAAAACAAAAATTAGACAAATTTGCTAGATTTAGCTGATTTATACCAATTTAGAATGATTTAAACCTATTTAAAATAGTTTAAATCAAGACTTTAAATCTTAACATTAGCATGAAAAGATGTTCTTAATGGTTACACGTTACAACGACTATGTTTTGGTTTCATTCAGCATGCAGCGTACCTGAGAGAGAAGCAAGGTCTCGACATTGTTAAAGCAGTTCTAGACACACTCAAAGAATCTGGTTACAGCAAAAGGGTTATGATTCAGTCATCTAACAGCTCAGTCTTGGTTGACATCAAGAAACATAGCCGGTACGAGACAGTATACGAAGTGGAAGAAACAATCCGTGACATCCTCGACTCTGCGATCCAAGACATTAAGACATTCGCTGACGCTGTTGTCTTCAAAAAACTATCAGTCTACCCTGTCAGCGCTAGCTTCATAACCGGACAGACTAATCTAGTGGAGAGGCTACAGAAGAAGTTTAAGCTTCCGGTTTACGTTGAAACGTTCAGGAACGAGTTTGTTTCTCAGGCTTGGGACTTCTTCTCTGATGCGACCGTGGAGTTAAACACGCATGTTACTCTAGCTGGTGTCAGTGGAACCATCACTGAGTTCCCTCTCACTGCTGCAAGATACAAAAGTAAATTTCAGAACCAACTCAAAACTCTAATCATGTTTTGATTGTGTTTTCATGTTTTTTATTTTTTATCAGGGAACAGGTGTGTGGCTAGAGAAGACACGCCTCCTTACATGATCCCAATTCAGCCAGCTGGCCTGTTGGAAATCGCGAGTCCTACTTCTTTACCTCCAGCTGAAGCACCAAACCCGGTTTTCACAGATGCTGATGTCACTGAACCACCATTACCTCCGGTTATAGCTAGAGCTTCAGCCACTAGCCCTGGACCTTTATCAACAGATCAAAAAGCTCCTAATGGACAAGCTCGAGTGGCTCTATCTCTTCTTCTTTCAGCGCTCTCTATGGTTCTTGCCTCTCTTCTACTACTTCTTTGAGGGAATTGACTGAGTCCTTAGAATCTTGTCCTCTCCTAACGGTTCTTGAGATTCTTTGCAGTGATTTCTTATTAGGGGGCTTTTGTTTGTTCATATTCTTAGTTATCATGGGGATTTGTTGTTGTAGCATTATTCACTGTAGTGTTCTTTAAAAATCTCTTTGTGTGTGATTTGTAGTATTAATGAGATTCTATCATTGTTAGTAGATAAATTTAGGTGTATGTTTTTACAATATATGTAATATTTTAATCATTGGAGATGAGATGAAATTAGTACAATTTTAAATACTGATTTAAGTTGTTGGAACAAGAAGATATACAAATCAATTTGTAGCTGTAAAATCACATGGCACATCTTTTTTTAAATATGATCCAGTTATTATTCTAATACAACTGAAGTCAAAAGACATTGGTGACCGCAAAAAAAGATTCAGAATAGGTAAAAGATCGAGAGAGATGGAGGAAGAGCTCAAGAACTTCATTAAGGTTTGGGTTTTAGCAATAATCTCCATATCTTATTGTTACTACTCATCAACCAAGATAAAACCTGGAGTCTTTAGATTACTCTCTGTTCTTCCTGTTTGTGCTTTGTTTCTTGTTCTTCCTCTGTTTTTCTCCTCTGTTCATCTCTCTGGTATCATTGCGTTTTTCATCTCGTTTCTAGCTAACTTCAAGCTCATACTGTTTTCCTTTAATCAAGGTCCTCTTGTCCCAACCCCACCTAGTCTCACCTTATTCATCTGCTTTACTTGCTTCCCAAGCAACAACACTCGTGAAAACCCTAAGTACAAGAATCATTTGCCTAAATGGGTGTTCGCTTTTAAACTTGTGATCTTTGATGGTTTGTTATATGTCTACTATCAATATTACAAAACCATTCCACATCCGTTTGTGCTATGGTGTCTCCATTCTCTGCATATCTACTTAGAGATAGAGATCGTTTTGATGATTGTCAAAGTTGCTGTCTCCATCATTTTTGGTTGCGACCTCGAGCCACATTGCAACGAACCATACTTAGCCACGTCTCTTCAAGACTTCTGGGGTCGCAGGTGGAACCTCATGGTTCCGGAGATTCTCCGACAAGCTGTTTACACTCCAATATGCGGGGTAGTCTCTAAGAGGAAACTGAACTCAGAGTTGTCTCTGTTTCTAGGATTCTTGGTCACGTTTGTAGTGTCTGGCGCAGTTCATGAGCTTATGTTGTTCTATTTAACACGTGAGTTGCGTACAGGAGAAGTTACTATGTTCTTCGTTTTACATGGAGTTTGTACTGCGGCTGAGGTGGTGGTTGAGAAGAAGTTTGCGCGGCGGCTGTGGAGGATGAGTACGGTGTTGTCGCGGTTGCTTACGGTGGGGTTTGTGGTTGTGACGGGTGGTTTGTGGTTTTTTCCTCGGCTTATAAGGAAGGGCATGATCGAGGGACTTGCTAACGAGGTTTTGTTTGTCAACAATCTAACCGGACTAATCCGATCAGGCTTTTTGATTGATCTATCTTAAGTGGGGAGGGGGGTTATTAGTTCTTGTATTTTTATGGATTTTTGAATTTGGAAATTCTGACAAATCCGTTGATTTTTAAAATCAATTAAATAAGTATTATTAGAATCAAGGAAATAGATTTCAAAATCAGAATAAGTGGATTATCATGAATGATCGGATTTGCAATTTTCTCACCGTAACTTGTTCAACAATATCATCTGACAGAAAAACATAATAAAGTAGTGTGTGCATCTAATTCTTCATCTGCATGCAATAGATATCTTTTTTTTTCTTCTTTTGAAGTCTTTTTTTGTTGTTGTCCAAGTCAGTTAACTATTTCGTAGTGATTCTGCAAGTAACTAGATGTTGTACTTTCTCCTCCAATCCCATTCTCTTCACAAGCAAAATGTTATGAGAACCCTTACCACTCGGGGGCTATGCCTCCGTCTCTCTCTCTTCTTTCGATGCTAGAAGATTCTGCTGTTGAGTCTTCAGTGTTCTCTGCAACAATTCTAATATTGAACTCTGGAATCAAAGCAGTGACTTGGTTTGAAACTGATTCTGCTTTTGCCTGCTGATGACCTTGGTTAGTGGGAGCAACGTGACGTCATTCTCTGAGTACCAAGTGAAGCTCACTATCTCAGTGCTCACCACCAAAGCGTATGAGCTTTGATAGCATTCAAAAGATCTTTAGCTAAATCATCGGCTATGATTCCTGGGCTACATCCAATACCACCAAGATTGTAGCTCTCCGTGTTATGCCTCAGCTTGTAATGGTTGATCACCATTGCTGATAGAGAAGGTGTGGTGTTTAGGACTCCACAGTTTAGCACCAGGATGTTGATATGCTTCACGTTGATTCTGGTGGGTGGCTGTAAGTGTTCAAACCAGAAAACCGGATCGACATAAACGATATAATAGAAACAAATTTAAAGAAACATATGATTCTTAAAAACGATAATTATGCATGAAACAACATATTTAAAAATTAATTTGTATTCAATTTATGTTAAATTCAGATTTATCTTTCAAAACTGGATTTTCTTATAGCAATATTTATTACATTTATTTCTTTCAGATAATATATTATTGTATATGCAACCGTCTAAGAAATGAAAATAAATAAATAAATAAATATATATATATATATATATATATAAATTTATCAACTTAACATAATTTTATCAGATTTATCTCAATTACGTTTATTATATTTTTGAACATATATATTTTTTCTATATGATTTGTTATGATTACATAATAGATAAAAATAAGATATAATTTTTATTTTATAAACAACAACTGAATATACTAATGCATCATAACATTTCCTTGCTAATTATGAAATTAGTGAAATTATTTACATAAACTTTTGGAAACTAAGATATCATCAAATTAATTTTCAAAAGAATTTTAAAAATTTATTTATGTATATATACTAAACTAATGAGGTAATTGGTGAAAATATTTACATATAATTAAAAATAATATATTGTCAAAATATTTTGAAACATATTTGTTAGACTTAATATTAATATTTAAAATGAAAAAAATATCAAAGGATATTATGATTTAAGTAGTTCAAAGATTTTTATATATTATTATTATTAATAAAAATTTATAATGGATGGTCTAAGTTTAAAAAATCACACATTAAAGAAATCATAAATTCTATTTTAATAGATAATATGCATTATACAATATGAGAAATGTGACGAAGGAATGTTCATGATGCATTAATATGAGCAAAAGATAATATATAAAATTTGAAACAATGTACCAACCGCTGTTTATTAGAACACGAAACTATAAGGAATTAGAAAAACCCAATATAAAATAAATCAAATCAAAATAAAAAAAAGTTCAATTCAATATTTTTGATCCTTTGAATTTTACTTTTAAAAATATCCGCAAATCCAATCAAATTCAATTTCAAAATAAATCCTAAAACAGATCTTTACTTTTGAATAATACTTGATTCTAAAATTTATTTTAAAATTATAGAACCTATAACTATGGATTTGAATATGAATTTCAAAGTGATATAACTAATAACACTAGATTTGGTTTGGATTTTCAAATTCATTAAAATGCACAAACTAAGAAAAATTAGACAATGCAATTAAATGTGGAGTGTTTGTTTCAATAAAAAAATATTTATAACTTGACACTCTTGCATTGGGTATGGGAATAAATATTTAACAAATCATTATAATGTATTAACTTTGTAAATATATATATATATGTGCATGAACATGAAAATCTTATCTACTGATTTATTAAAGATGAAATTTTTTTTAAACCAATATAACTTCTAACATAAAATATAGGAGATCTAAAATCACTTGGCAAATAAAAATATAGATTTAGGAAAGTTACACTCATGAAACTTTGAAAACAACTTTAAGATAAAATTATAAAAAATATCTGAATTTTTCCCTCAATATTTATTCTTAATAAATAATAGTTAGTATTTTGAAAGATTCAATTTTTGAGACTATCAATTCAAACAAAACCAAAATTCACACAATGGATCCAACATTGCTTTTGTAAAAAAAAAGGATCCAATATTGTAAACATTAAGGCCCATATGAAACAAATCAAGTTTTGTCAAGTTTCCTTTTGCGCCACTTTGGCGTGGGGAGCTCTTTAGGTTTTACATCTTATAAATAAGTTTACTTTTTCCTTACTGTAACGCATACTACAGAATTTTCTCAAAACGTGTCTTGATTCTCCTGTTGGGAGCGAGAACTTCAACGAGCCCGAGAAGATGGAGTTAAAGCTGTACAACACCATGACTCAACAGAAGGAAGTTTTCAAACCGATCAAACCTGGGAAAGTCGGATTGTATGTCTGTGGAATCACAGCTTACGATTTCAGCCACATCGGCCATGGGCGCGCCACCGTTCCCTTCGACGTTCTTGTCAGGTAATCTTCTTAATTAGGGTTTTTTTATTGAATTTGACTCTACAGGTATATCAAGAAAGCTTGAATCTTAGATCAAAGAGTGTTGTTTTTCGTTATGCAGATTCTTGAAGTATTTGGGTTATGAAGTTACATACGTCCGGAATTTCACAGATGTTGATGACAAGGTATTCTTTTTTCTTGTCTTAATCCGACAAGAGAATCTTATTGTCTTTATGCGGTTTTACTCCATTCAAATGAACTTTGTGTGTGTGTTCTGTAATGAAAGTTGGTCGTCTAACCATAACAATCTCCGCAGATAATCACACGCGCTGAAAAGAATAACGAGGAACCATTAGAGTTGAGTAAGCGCTTTTGCAACGAGTTTTTGGTCGACATGGATGCTCTTCAGTGCCTCCGTCCCACCGAACAGCCTCGTGTCAGTGATCATATGGATGACATTATTAACATGATTCAAAAGGTATGTTTTGGTGGAAATATGAGATACAACATGGAGTTGGAATTAGAATCTAATGATACATCCATATGATTTCCTGTTTTACAGATCATTGAGAATGGTTATGGATATGCTGTGGAAGGAGGCGATGTGTTCTTCTCTGTTGACAAATCACCAAACTATGGTAAGTTGTCTGGTCAGCGGCTGGAACATACACGGGCTGGTGAGCGAGTTGCGGTTGATTCCAGAAAGCGTAACCCTGCTGATTTTGCATTATGGAAGGTTTGCGTGATTCAATATCGTTTTTAACTTTAATGATAGATGAAGTGTATTAATTAATTAGTGTAATATTGTTTTTTTGTTTTGCTAAATTTTGGGTGTAATATTGTTTGTAGGCTGTAAAACCTAAGGAGCCGAGTTGGGAGAGTCCGTGGGGTCAAGGAAGACCAGGATGGCACATAGAGTGCAGTGCCATGAGTGCTCGCTATCTATCCCCAAGATTTGACATTCATGGTGGTGGTGCAGATTTGATATTCCCACACCATGAAAATGAGCTTGCTCAGACATGTGCTGCATGTGAGCATGGTGGTGTTAATTACTGGTTGCATAATGGCCATCTCACTATCAATGACGAGAAGATGGCTAAATCAAAGGGAAACTTCAAAACAATCAGAGATATCACAGAAAGTTATCATCCTTTGGCTCTGAGGCATTTTTTGATTAGTGCACATTACCGGTCTCCTCTGAGCTTCTCACCATCGAAGCTAGACAGTTCCTCTGAACTCTTGTATTATGTTTTTCAGGTGCAGTGCCTCAAAGTTTTTTATTAGCCGTGATTTTTATTTAGTTCTATCTCTAACTTGTGAATCTTTGTTTACTAAGACATTGCAAGATCTTGATGATGCTCTCTTGCCATATCAAGAGGCAATGTCTGAAGATGGTGGAAAAGCTGAACCGACAGCAGAAGCCAAAGACATTATTACCAAACTCAAAAGTGAATTTGATGCAAAAATGTTAGACGATTTGAATACTGCCCATATACTAGAAGGTGCTTACAAAGATGCATTGAAGTTCATCAACGATTCCATCGGCAAGCTTAAGGTTTTCTTGCTTTTTCTCCTTCTTTTCTTTTGTGGCATCTTAAACATTCATACTTTATTACATTACTAAACTTCTCTGGTTTTGTCAAAAATTGTCAGAAAATGCAGAAGACACAGAGGATGTCACTGCTTGTGTCACTTGTTGAGATTGAGAAAGCAGCAAAGACAGTTCTTGAAGTGCTTGGTTTCACCACTACACTGAGCTATACCGAGATTTTGAAAGAGATGAGACAAAAAGCACTAACAAGAGCAAAATTGAGCGAAGAAGAGCTTTCAAAAATAATAGAAGAAAGGACAATGGCACGGAAGAACAAAGAGTTTAAGAAAAGTGATGACATTAGAGCACAACTGACAGTTAAAGGAATAGCTTTAATGGATGTTGGCAAAGAAACTGAGTGGAGGCCATGCGTACCTTTAGTGCCGGCTTAAAACTATATTGGACCCTTTGACAGAAGCTTTTTTTATTGAACAATAATATCAATTGTGTAACTATATGTTACTTTGGATATTTTCTCTAATTTTTCACAGTTACAAATATATTTATCTAAGATCTATGATTTAAGTTTTCCCGAACTGAAACGAGTTTTTGGTTTTTGCAAAAATTTCAAAATAATTCAAAGATTAACTGAATAATATATCGATATGATTCGGTTCGTTTATCGGTTAATTTCGATTTTAAATCAAAGTTAACTGAAATTTGTTTTAAAAGAGTTAAAAATATGGTTTAAATCAGATATATTCGATTAAATTTAGTTATCTTAGAGCAGCTCCAACGCAGATTTGTAGAGAAGTATCAAATCCATAAAAATATTAAAACAAAGGCAAAAAGATGAGAGAAGATGAAACACGTATCTCTAACTCAACCTCAATTCATATCCCAAAATCCACATGACTATTTTTCTTTAGTCATTTTCAAGGACATCCAAAATTATTATTTTTACTTTTAAAATTCTATAAAATATTATGATTTTGTATTAGTGAGAACTTGAAAAGAGGTTTTAACCGCCGGATGCTCTTAGTTAAGTTTTGATTAACATCGGTCCAATTTCGACATAAACCGGTTTAGTTTTGGTATAATTTATGTATTTTTCTTAAAAAGTAATAATAATTCGGATCCAAACGTCGAAAAAGAAATTCGATCCAAACTCACTGATTACAATCATAATCACGACGGATTCTCAGATCCTCCGATGAAGCTTCCGGGAACGACGACGACGGGAGAGTTATTCTGGGGATACTTCTTCGTCACAATTGGTTCTATTTCCTTCTTCGGATTCGTTTTCGCAGTCATCGCTTCGACTTTGTTTCCACTCTCTCAAAATCCTTTAAACCAAGGTCTGAAGAACGATAGGTATTACTACTGCTTCTTGGTTCCCTTGACTCTTCCCGTTATAACGGTTGCCGTCTACTTTCATTGGCTAAGCATGAAGCTCTTCAAACACGCCTGATCCATTCCGTCACTATTTGGTTTAGGATTTGTGATTTCAGTTTCACTCTCTCAGCTATCATTCATATCTCATTTCTGTGTAATGGAGAAGCAATCAATGTGAATTTGTGTTCCCGTGGAGGAGAATAATTCGAGAATTTTGATTTGACGAGTGTAATCTGCGTTCTAGAGATTTGATGTACATAAAAGTGATATTTGTTTGTTCAATTTCTTGTGATTACTGCAAAATTAGAGTTTGTGTAAGTATAATGTGACTGTTTATGCTCTATGTCACTTGATGATTAAATACAAGAATTATGTTTTGAACCGAGTGTCATAACCTCAACTAGAAAAGCACCATAGGCAAAATGTAGAAGTCACAAGATCGAATTGAGACGAAACCAATGTTACATATTGTGGTTTCGGATCTAGGACTGCTAGTTTCGGCCTAGAATTTTCGGTTTGGAATAACAGCTACTACTGCTAAGTTTTGCAATAGCAAGATTATGAAATAACATACAAATTACAGTTTGGATCCAGTAGCTGAGTATTTTTGTTTTTCATTGTGTGGACATTGTTGAAACTTTCCTTAGTGATTTTATCATCTGATGAATGTTTTGACGGTTGCTGGCTTTATCGAGCACGGAGATTGTACAATCTTGATGAGGTGAAAACCGAACTATCCATGATCTGTTCTGGGATCTTGTAATCAGGATCTCTGAGACTATCAGCATCATCAATTATATCTGTATCAATCCAAGAGTTCCAATCAACCTCGCTATCTGTATCTTCATCCCATGAGAGATCTCTTTTGCTTTGCATGTTGTTAACCTTATCTACTAGTCTTAAGAGAATATCGTGGTTTAGTACTTCATAGTCCCTGCGTTTTCAGACAAAGAGTATAAAGATCAGCTTCTGAGTTTCATCTATTTTGAGAATCTGAGATTTACCTGTATGTAAAAGCAGCATGAAGAAGCTGAGCTGAAGCAAGAGCAGCGAATATAGATCTCAGAACGTTTATGATCCATGCTCGGTGTTCTGCATCATTCACGTAACGCAAACTCGCCACTTCTAATGCTAAGGTAACGCACAAACCTGCATCATAGAAATTAAAAACTGATCTGTAAACAATCAATACATCCCACTACGAGAAAGAGAGATGGAGTAAGATACTTACCAATATAAAGCCTCGGCCTTATGGTGTAAGTTTGTTTTGTACTTGTAAACATGTAGATGACAAAGATCGACAAGAAGTAAATGAAGAAAGCTTTGATAACCCTAGACTCAAGAAGCATCGCATTGTGCAAAGCAAACAGCTTATCCAAAGCCACAAACATACTCGCCTGTTTCGCCTCAAACGCTTCCTGTGCTGCCAACATTGACTTAGAATTCTCAAACAAGTGATCATGAACCTGTTGAAGCTGTTCTTGCCGCTTTGCAAGATCTTCCTGTTGCTCTTGACTAAACTCCACGAAACGTTGCAGTGTACTCCTACTCTCTTGCAGTGCCTCGCTCTGAAACTGGTTAAGAGACTGTATACTCTCAATGGCTACTGATTGCCCATCTAAAAGCTTCTGCTGTTTATCCAACGTAGTGTTCGTTATAGTACCAATGGCACTGGTTTGATTCTCCAACGCAGTCATTTTACTCGTCATTTTCTCTCCAAGAACACTTATCTCACCACCTATTTGCTTTGTGTCGTTCTTTAACTTATCAACACCTTCTTTAACGTCAGTAACAGAATCGTTGAACATCTCTATCCCAGCTTTCATAGCTTCTCCCATCTTCTCTTGGCCTTCCTTTAACGCCAATTGTGATTCTGTAATGCCCTTTTGCTCTTCATAGATCTCTTTAGTTTTCTGAGACAGACCACTAACTTGAGTTCCTATTGTGTTTGTCGTAAGAGCCACGTTCTTAACCACAACATCTACTGATCCTAGAGATTCATGAATCTTGTTACTGCTCTGCAATAGATCATCTGATTTACTCTCTAGGATATCGAGTTTCTCTTCTGTATTTTGAGCACTTCTCTTCAAATCATTCACAAGCCTCTCTATCTCGTTCTTGAGTGCATGATTCCTAACCACACAAAAGTTAAATTTAGAATCCATTATTCAATCTTGAATAGACTAAACTGAAAACTTACTGTAACTGATGGCAAATGGTGTTGGTCTCAAGCATGAACTCGAGGTAGATCTTATGCTCATGGTCATCTAGCTTCTTGAGACAATTCATCATTGTTGATCTATCATTGCATGTGGGAAAGTTCGGTCTTCCTGATTCCTTTTGGAAGCAATCGCTTAGATGCCAAGCAAACCTCTTCCTCTGTTCTTCCGTGGCAACCATATCTTTGCAACCAGACATGAGATAACCATATGCAGTTTGCCAGCAACTATTTGGACCTACAAGTTGATTTTTAGCGTTTTCAAGGACTTGAACTGCTTTCTGATTATTGAAAACTTCAATGGAGAACTCGGGGTTGGATTTGATGGGCCGATAAGAGTCCGTGTTTTCTTCAGAAGAAGAGAACCATCCCCAGCTGTGGGATAATAATGAAGAATCTAAAAGTATAATGAATATAAACAGGAGAAACCTTCTGTTAAAAAGATCCATTGAATCAGGGTTTTAAGGTTTTTCTTTCTCCTTTGTGTTGAATCCTCTTCTTCTCGTGGAGATGTGTGATTGATTTTACCTACAACAAAAAAAGATCAGACTGTTACGTTCTGAAAAGATAATATGCAAAACTTAAAGCGCAAGCAAAGGAAACCCATGTCGTTTTTTTGTTTATTTATACCGCCATTAATGAAGTTAACAAATAAAGAGGATTATTAACAAATAATTTGCAGATTAAAAAGGATACAAATCAAACTCAATAAATATTTCCATTCCTCTTCCAGGGTTTAAAGAAACGTCTTTGGCCATGTTCGTTACACTGCGTCCACTTTCTATATCGTTTTTTTTAAGACTACATGCATTTTAAGTCGTATCAACGACGTTAAAAAACAGGAAACACTATTATCAATTCTTTTGCCTATCGAACAAGAAAAATACAGACATGAAGAGGTTGGAAGACAATGTTTGGAAATTTTAAAAACAAACTATCTAAAAATAGTTATATAATGGTTTGAATCAGAGAAGAATCTCTATGTTTATGTCACTCAATGTCATTACAGAGTGGCAAAACAGATTAGATACAAAATAAACACGGACTACAATTTTATTTCTCACTTCTCAGGTAGTACTTTTCATTTCATTTCAAAAGTATAGTTGTACAAAACCATTACATGAATCTAAATATACATTTTCACTTCATCATAAATTCTCACAAAAAGAAAATTAATTAAGGAGTAGTCAGTTGTAATACAAGTTTAAGCACCACTTACCGAACAGAACAGAGAGATTGCAGATTTCGAGCCGGCGTTTTGGAGAAAGTGTGTGATCATCAAGAGGGGGAGAGACAGGAATGATAATGATATAAAGTAAACTGAACGCGTTTGACAAAATAAAAGAGAAAAGGAAACGTTTCGCGAAACGTTTCCGGTTCGACTTGATTTCCGGTATGAAATTAATTTAATCCGGTTCGTTTTATTCCGGTCTGGTTCAGTAAACCAATCAAAAGAGAAAGCGAAGAGAATCATCTATGGAACTTTCTGCTTTGAATAAAAATCGCCACCTTCTTCTTCCTCTTCTTAACCTCTGTCACCTTAACGAACTTTCCGGCGAAAAAACCGATGAAAATCTCCACTAAATCCATCACTAGATACTAATATTTCCCTCCACGATCGAGTGATGAAACTCTAAAAATAGAAAGTCTCCAGTTCAATCAATTCTCAAAGCGCGCAAATCAAGGAGAGAAGAGAGAAGATGAGTAAGCGAAATCCACGGATCCTAAAGATAATCCTCTACATGCTACTCCTCAACTCTCTCTTCCTCTGCATCTACTTCGCTTTCCACTCCTCTTCCTCCTCCTCCTCCCCCGATCCACATCCACATCATCTCCCTTCCCGATTCCACGTCATCAATAACAACAACAACCAATCCTCGATCCAGAAGCCGTGGCCGATCCTCCCTTCCTACCTCCCCTGGACGCCGCCGGATAACAACCTCCCCCCTCGCTCCTGCGAAGGCTACTTCGGGAACGGATTCGTCAAGAGAGTCGACTTCGGAAGCACCTGGTTCCGATGCTCTTACAGCGAGACGCTGCGGAGCTCGATTTGCGAGGGGAGGAATCTGAGGATGGATCCGGATCGGATCGTGATGTCGAAGGGAGGTGAGAAGCTGGAGGAGGTTATGGGGAGAGGGGAGGAGGAGGAGTTGCCGGAGTTTCGCGATGGCGCGTTTGAGGTTGCCGAAGACGTTTCGTTCAAGAGGAACCGGAGGATCGGAGGAGGTGGTTTGAGGCGGTTGGTGGATGATGAGATGTTGAATGAGTATATTCCAGAAGGTGGTATTGGTAGGCATACTATGAGAGGTTTGGTGCGTTCCATTCGTGTTGTTGCCAATGATGATTTCGTTTGTGATGAGGTTCGTTTTATTGGTCTGAGTGATTACATTTTAGATTGTTACTATTAGATAATGTGGTTAATCAATTCAATTCAATTCAATGCATATATAACTTAGATTGTGTTTTGGTGAAAGACTTACATAATTAGAATGGATACAATCTCCTTTTCGGAAGATCAAACTCATTTAATCTTTGTAATCTTTCTTAGATTCTTGAATTTTATGTAATGTTCTTGCTGATTGATGTTTTTGGTTTTGGTTTTTGCTTGGGTCTAGTGGGTGGAGGAACCAACTCTGCTAGTTACTCGGTTTGAGTATGCGAATATGTTTCATACGGTGACGGATTGGTACAGTGCTTATGTTTCCTCTAGAGTCACCGGTTTGCCTAATCGTCCACACGTTGTTTTCATTGATGGACACTGCACGGTACGCTACTCTTTTTGTTCATTGTTATGATTAATATCAGTTTCATTTGCCTCAGCTATCTTTGGACTTGTAGTTATTCTTTGGTTAGAAGAATATGATTTTCTTGTGTTTTGTGGTTTTAGTTTAATCCATTAATGAATTGTGAACTTTTTTTTTTGTGCAGACGCAGCTAGAAGAGACATGGACAGCTTTGTTTTCGGGGATCAGATACGCAAAGAACTTCACCAAACCGGTTTGTTTTCGTCACGCTATTCTCTCACCATTGGGATACGAGACCGCGCTTTTCAAGGGCTTGTCCGGAGAGATTGACTGCAACGGAGAATCAGCTCACAACCTCTGGCTAAATCCTGACAACACAAAAACCGCGAGGCTCTCAGAGTTTGGTGAAATGATCAGATCATCTTTCGGGTTCCCTGTGAACAGACACCGGTCAACAGAAAAACCGCTGTCGTCTTCATCACCCCCTGTTCACAATGTTCTCTTTGTCAGACGTGAAGATTACTTAGCACACCCTCGTCACGGAGGTAAAGTCCAGTCTCGTCTCATCAACGAGGAAGAAGTGTTTGAGTCATTGCATCAGTGGGTTGCTTCTGGCTCCACGGGTCTGACGAAATGTGGGATTAACCTAGTGAACGGGTTGTTTGCGCACATGTCGATGAAAGATCAAGTCCGAGCTATCCAAGACGCGTCCGTGATCATAGGAGCTCACGGAGCGGGACTGACACACATTGTGTCTGCGACACCAAACACAACGATATTTGAGATTATAAGCGTAGAGTTTCGGAGGCCACATTTCGAGCTTATAGCTAAGTGGAAAGGTTTGGAGTATCATCCGATGCATCTGGCGAATTCGCGGGCGGATCCAACGGCTGTGATTGAGAAGCTCAAAGAGATAATGAAAAGTCTTGGCTGCTGAAAAAAGGGATCTCCGGTGACCCCGTGAGTTCGAACGTTAGCGGCCACGGGATGTTTTTGTATTATTATTTTTTCTTCATTTTTAGGTGGGTTAATGTCATGTCAAGTGTTGTAGATTAGCTTTTGCTTCTTTTTTTTGTACCAAACATACTTTTTGACCCGTGAGTTCGAGACTTAGCGGGCACGGGATAATTATCATACAGTCTTACATGATGTTTTCCTTAACAATACATTGTATATAAAGAACGTCCTTTTTTTTTTTTTGTCAGCATAAAGAACGTCCTTTAACGATCCCTTCCTTGAAGCTCCTCTAGTACCACCATATCTTGTTAAAACTACATGCATTTGCAGATAGTGGATACTATGTTTTCCTTGTCACGTATGCGATACGCAACAACATATTGTAATAATAATATATCTTCTTTTTTTCTTTGGAGATTCCTTTGAGAACTTGAAAATATTACTGTGGTCTAAATATTTTCCCCCACTGAACCGGCGGTAAGTTTTCTGGCATGCAACGACATTGTGTTGGAAGTGGGAGGTATATATGATTGTTTTGGGTCTTTTCTTCTTAATTACAATGGAACTTTAATGTTCTTGTTTGTGTAGGTTGTTTGTTTGTGACTTTGACTTAAGGTTTAACAGGCTTGAGGACCTGAGGTGTTCGTTTGGCTTTTCTGTAACCATAGAAGTTAAAATTACTTGTTCATCTTCGCACTGCTGCTTTTAGTGTGTTCAAACTGCATTCACTGAAACTTGAGCTGGCCTTTTTTGTGCATTTATCTCAGGTACATGTTGATATCTTGATTGAAGCAATAATCTGCGAAGCAAAAGGATAAATTTTAAGTGTTTGTGTTGTGACTCAATTTGTCAGTTGATGAGAGTACAAGGACATAAAAACATATCTTTTGAAAGGGAAGAAACTGAATAATTGGAGATGCGGGGTATCGATCCCCGTACCTCTCGCATGCTAAGCGAGCGCTCTACCATCTGAGCTACATCCCCGTTTGCTTAAATCTAAATAAATTACTTTCTTTACAAAATCTATGGCTCAGTTAAAGTTCCATAAATTATTGTGTTTACGAATCTTTGGTTCAGTTAACCTAACTATATTACTGTAGTCTCCAGATTCCAGAAGTGATGATTTTTTAAAAAAAATCGAGACGAGAACCTCAAATGCTCTCTAGAAACTTATGCATAGATGTACAATCCGATTGTTTGAGTATCTAGCCTCAGAATACAAGTCTACGAAGAAGGATGATGAGTAATAATGATACCAATACATACGATGATGATGAGATGAAGAAGAGAGGCCATTTGAGAAGATCCATGACCTTGTGCTTCTTACAATTGTCGTCAGCTACTGTTCCAAAGCGCTTTGGACCTTTGGCTACAAGCAAAGGGACTCTTTTAATTTGTCTTTCATTATGGTAATAACCAGTGGTTTTAAATCCAAGTACTATTTGTTAAATAGTCTGAAAAAGGCACACATCTCTATTTCTCATTGGCTCAAGCAGCAAAGCCGTTTACATCTGTTTTCAGCATCTACAAAAGTCCGGAGAACAAGTTGGAAAGAAACAAAAATCAACGTGCGCTGGGAAATGAGAGCTTCCGGGGCTTTGTTAAAGATTTGCAGAAAGAAGAGAAAGCTCCTTTGATCTCTTCGTGGATTGGGAGCGCCAAAGAGAGTGGTAACTCATCTTTGAGACTCCTGGTTTGATAATGTTTCAAGGATACAGAGTGGGCCAAAGCTGTTTGCCTTTTGTTGAGTCCTTCAAGGATGAAAGAAAAGGCACCAAAAGTGATGCAGCTTTGTAGCATTGCTTGTGGTGGACCTGCAACACACACCATCATCAAACGCATTGTTAGCTTGGGTATGCATCTTTGCTCTTTAGTTCCATACGAAGTTATATATATGAATCAAATCACAGGGATATGAATTAATAAATATTATATAGTTTCTACCGGGGAAACTAAGAGCAAGTCCAGTGCAGCACCCAGCAACTCCAACGTTAATCGCTGCAAAAATGGAGATCATATGAAAACGAAGAAGTGACTATGCATCACTATTATACGTAGAAGTGAGAAGGGACAATAAGGAGAAGCGTGTTAAAGAGTCTCACCATCATCTTTCCCTCGCAGTTTCTTCAGAAGACAAACAACCAAACTGTGTACTCCTGATAGAACTGCAAAAGTCTAACAAAGAGAACCACAATTATTCTGTAAATAATAGTAATAGCCAAAGAAGTTTCAATGAACCTACTCAATTCATAAGATTCAAAAACTTAGTCACCTTTGCAGACTGACCCGCATCAGCAAATGATCCCTTAAACCCCTTCTTCTTAAACAATCCGGAACCTGAACCCCAACTTATTTCCGTAAGATTCATGGTTTCATCAGACACAAAACAAGCACAAAAACTGATCCTCTCCAGTCACTAATTCCAGAAATTCAACACAGAAACTGACTGCAAACCATAAACAAACTTGAAAAAAATGCTCAAGCTACACCAACGAAGTCTACACAGACCACTTGTAACCCTAACTCAAGTAATCTAATTGTTCCTCTAGTCGACGATTAATGGAAGAAGCTAACCTAGTTCGACTAAAAAAAAACAAAAATCAAAAACTTGAGTAATGTTCTTCTATAGATTGCCAAAGAAGTAGTCTACTTACACACACACACACACACACTGTAGCTATTCCTCAAAGAACCTCATAAGTCTAAAGTCTTAGAAATCACCGTAGCCGATTACAGAGCCCATGACGGCGCCGCCAGCTGCGTCTCCGGCGAAACGGACGAGACAAACGGCGGGAGAAGGGATTATCAACGCCTTGGAAGAGTCGTGATTGGTCACATCATCACTAGCGTCGTTAAGATTAGTGTTTGAATGAGAATCAAGACTCGTGGCGACGTCTGAAGAATCCTCCTCGGCGGCCATTAGCTGATAAGCTTCTTCTGAAGCGAAGCTGAAGATAGTTTCGGTTTCTGTCCTAATCTTCAAAACATATCATTCGTTTAGTTCTCTTCTGGTTTACTTTCCTGCCTGTAGCCAAACAGTATCTATGGGCCTTTGTTGGGCCTAAACGCTAAACCCTATACTATGCGGCGGTCCATTCCGGTTCATTGCTTTGAAATACCAGAGCAAATTCAAACTTAATAATAGATTCATGGCGAGAAAAGTTTAATTTGAGCATAATCACTCCATAATCTCATATAGTTTCTATAAAATCTACTTTTAAGTTAACTGTTATTATAAGATACTAGTGTTAGGTCTGTCCTATGCATAGAAGACACTGTTATAAATATTATGTAACATTTATTTGAAGGCATGCTGATAGATACCTATTCTATCAGCTGACGTGGCAAGTGAAGAAGCTGACTTGGACAAAGAATCAGAGTGAAGGAGACTCTCTAACTGTTTCAGAAGGTTTGCCGTTAGTGAGATGGAGGCAACTTCGTGAAGATGGAGAGTATAAAGACGGAGCTTCAAATGCAGATGAGGATTATGCTTGATGTTGATTGTTTTAGACGCCATGAGTCTAGACCTCACGATCGCCATGAGATCGTTGATCCTAGCTAAGTTCGCCATGAGAGCTTAGTTAGTTTCTTACTCAAGCTGTAATCGATTGTTCTTTCCATATTCAATAAGAGAGTCTTGGATTTACAGAGATAGAGATACCTAAAGTCTATCACATGCACATGATGGATGTCTTAGTATTTAAGAAACTGTTATAATATACGTAGACCTACTCCCTCACGCTTTCAGTTTAGATTTTTAATATTCTTGCTACTCGGTAGAACAAAGAGACTTCATGGCCCAATGGATAAGGCGCTGGTCTACGAAACCAGAGATTCTGGGTTCGATCCCCAGTGAAGTCGTCTCTCTTTTTCAAAAAAAATCTTTTTTACTATCAAAGTGACGTCGTATTCATGCAGCGGGGAGCAAAACAAGCAAACAGTATCTATCTACACAAGTTAACAAACTTCAGACAATGAGAACAAAGGTTAAGGGTCGAGGACCATACATACAAAGGTTAAGGGTCAACTTCCTATTCATCGAATCTCCATCAGAAGCTCAACTTTTAAATCTAAAATGAGGATGATAACGAACCATTACAAGGAAATGATTCAGAAATTTGATTATATTAATTAAACCAATAATTGCCTAAACACAAGTATAGCTGCACCGTCCATGCTGTACCAATACATTACCGTCCAATTTCAGACGTTCAGTTTTTTTTCATTAGGACGGTGTGTATCACTGCAAGATAAATATGTGGCTCACAAGCATAAACTGATAATGTATAAACATAAGAGAAAATGTGTCTCCAAGTGTACAAATTTTCATATAATTATGTGAGGATGGAGAATAATCAAACAATAATTAGGAATTGGGTGAAAAGTTGATTTGTACGTTAATATAATGGAATTTAAGATTTTAAGCAACTAAAAGGAAAGAGTAGGCATCGACATGATAGTGACAATTTTTTGTAATGTTATAATGTCAGCAATTATAGTTTGAAAATTTTGGCATCAAAACATATAGAACCAATAATTGTCAAAAGAAAAAATGATTTTTAATTTCATGAATGATGACAATATAAATTTAAAAGATCAGCACTTTCGATCTTTTATATCTTTTTTAGCTTTCTTGTGGGTTCTACACATTAAAAAAATATCATACTTTTTAAGATCATATCTAACTTTAATCTGTGTAGTCATGCATTCATATCCACTCATTTATCAAAGAAAAGAGTATTTGTGTGTGTATGTATAGTTTCAGAAAGATATAATTTCAGGTTTTCATTATTTCAGAAATTCCATAATTAGTTAAATAATCAATATAATATTGGTTGGCAATTTGTATTTAGAGAGGAAAAAAAAACCATAATTAGAGGGTGCTTTGCTAGAAACTAACAAGTGGGCCCCGAAGCCCATTAAAAAGAAATGAAAACGCTTTTTGCTATCTTTTCTTCTTTTTAAATTTGGCGGATAATATTGCCAAAATACAAAACCAGTAGCAAGCAACAGCAAGACTCTCCATTAACGCTTTTGCCAGCTAAAGCTTTCCTTCTTCCAAACAGCTCGCGTGGAGTATTATTTGTAAGCTTTACAATCTTCTTTAATTTAACGGTCTCATGGAAAAGCTTAAACCTTTTAATCTACTTTTTTTTTCTCATAGCCGAAACAGTTGAATTTTGTGGGTATGATGACTATGTCCCACTTTCTCAGTGGTCCGCCATTGAAAGTGAACTGTACCCAAAACCCTAAATCTTATCTCTCTCTTTTTTTTTTCAGCCGACCTTTAAAGTTCCAATATTTTTTTTTTTCAACTTACCAACATTTTTGCATTTAAGTCTCTGTTTGAAAACTGTTCTGTTTTGTTTCTAACTTTCTTGTGTAACTCACATGCTTGCTTGTTGTTCGTCTTCTTACACGAGTACAACTACGAGTTTGTCTTTTTTACTCTCCTTTTTCTTTGTTTAAGAGTCTCTTTTTGTTCGTGTTGCTTTGTTAGAGAACTCAGTTTCCTTCTCTTCTTACCTAGTTGTGGATCAGAGCTCGGTTCTGGATTTTTAAGGCAAGTATTCTTTTAAGTAAACCCACCTTCTTTGTTTGTGTTGAGTGCGAGCTATGTCATAATTTTTAGTTTGTGATCTCTTGTCGGATTGGATCAAAGTTAGGTCATGCGTTGTTATCACTAAATAAAGTCTATTGCTTTATTTAATGAGCCCTCTCATGAATTGTTTGACTTGGTTAGAATTTGAATTGAGTTTTAAAACTTGTACCTAAAACATGACTCTACTTTTTAAAATTTATCTCTTCTTGAATGTGTTATTTAAATTTGATCTGTTGATTTTGGCTCCATCTTAAATTTTGAGAGACTTTATAATGAGTTAGAATATCTGGGAAAAGATTGTTTCATTGTTCTTGAATTCTAGTGTATGTATAGCTCTGCTTTGTTTTAGCTTAGCTTGTGCTAAAAGCATGAAAGAGAACTCTTCCAAGTTTTCAACTCTGATTTTGACATATAACTGTCTGTTTGATATTTTCTGTTCTGAAATCAATAATTGTTTCGGTTTGATTATGTTTCGTTATACTTCAAGGGTTTATACTAATTGGCTGGATGTTTAAGTTTCCAAGAAAGATAAGACCATACTAATTAACCTTTTTATTTTTGCAGGATTGTTTCTTAGAATTTGCAATGGACTCCCCACAATCTGTTGTTTCACCATTCAAGATTAATGAGTCCGAAAACGAGAACTCAGCTTCTGTGCAGAGCTCTGGAAACAAATCAAACATCATCAAATCCAATGGAAAAGACTCAACCAGCTCTAACCATCAAGACCTTTTTGGTACTCTTGAGGTTTATGTGCATCAGGCAAGAGATATCCACAACATTTGCATATACCACAAACAAGACGTGTACGCCAAGCTTTGCCTTACAAGTGATCCTGAAAACTCTGTCTCCACCAAGATCATCAACGGTGGTGGGAGGAATCCGGTTTTTGACGACAAAGTTAAGCTTGATGTCAGGGTGTTAGACACTTCCCTCAAATGTGAGATTTACATGATGAGCAGGGTGAAGAACTATCTTGAAGACCAGCTTCTTGGTTTTACTTTGGTTCCTATGTCTGAACTTATCTTCAAGAATGGGAAACTAGAGGAGAAAGAGTTCTCTCTTTCTTCCACTGATCTGTACCATTCTCCAGCTGGCTTTGTTCAGTTGTCTCTCTCTTACAATGGATCCTACCCTGAAGTGATGGCTTTTCCAGCTATGCCTATTGATAAAACGGCCAAGAATCAAGAAGGGTCTGAATCAGTTCCGGATGAGTTGGAGAAGATAGAGTTTCCTGATCCTAATGTTGCAAATGAAAACGAGAAGATGGTTTCAGAGTATTTTGAGATGTCTTGTTCCACTATTGATTCAGAAACTTCAAACAGCTTGGTTACTTCTCACACTGAGAATCATGTAACAAGTTCTGTCACTTCTGTAATGAAGAAAGATTCACCTGAGAGCAGCAATGCAACAAATGGTGCTGCTTCTCCTCACGCTTCAGCTCACTCAGCCACAGAGACACCAAACCATGATCATCTCTCTGTGGTGAACTCCAAAGCGGATTCTCAGGAGTCAGAGAGCGAGACATCTGAGGAGAAGACTGTGAAGCCCATCATCAGTGTGAGTGTTGAGACAGAGTCAAAGGTGGTGCAGCAGGATATAGTGGACATGTACATGAAAAGCATGCAACAGTTTACTGATTCACTGGCTAAGATGAAGCTTCCTCTGGACTTTGATAGCCCAACAAACTCAGAGAACTCAAGCTCTGATTCTCAGAAGCTGCCAACACCAAAGAACAACAAAGGATCACGTGTGTTCTATGGGAGCAGGGCTTTCTTCTGAGCATCTCTTTTACCAAGTTCAGAGGCAAGAAAGACTAATCTCCTAATGATGTAATTTTATAATGTTACTACTATTTGATGTTGTATCTCCCATCTGGTCAGTTTGATGCTTTAGTTGTTATATTTATGTGTCATTAGCCTTTGTACTGTTAGAACTATGAACTTATGCTGCTTAATCATGTTTGTTTTTACTTCCTGAAATGCTGATTTTTAACATCCACAAGAATCTCTAAAATCTAAAGCATAGTGATTGCTAAGATTGGTTAATTATTTGTACAATTATCATGTGTTGTGATTGTTACTCTCTGGACCCATTTTTTTCTTTGTGGCCATCAAGAGGAGGTCCCATAGGTGGGGAGAAAGAGAGAGGCAAATGGTCCAATGATTCAGCTCTCTGAAAAAAATCTTGAAAAACAAATGTTTGCATGTTCTTTGGTTAGTTGAAGTGTCTTTTTCATAGGATCTTGAAATGATGGTTTTCTGTCTTTGTACCATTAGGGTAAAAAGGATAAGGAATTCAACAGTAATAATGGTATGGATTTAAAGATTATCAATACGGTAACAGAGAATGATAATGGTTTTAACTGATTAAACTACTCTCTCTTACATTTTTTTTTTGTAGCTAGAAGCAAGCATCACAGGGGAACTTTGGATCACTTCATTGGCTTTGGTGAATATGCCGTTTGCAAATGATAATATCTGACAAACTCTTTGTTAGTGGGACATGTGTGTGTATCTAGTGTCTACTGCATGTTCTTAAACTTATTATTGGTTTATAACATTTTTAATTTGGTATATATTCAATTTATTTCATAAATATTTTTAGTTTATTTCCTAATTTAGTATGGAATATTAATGTGTTATTTACCTGAAAAAGATTTAAAGTGTAAAAAGAGTTTTCAGCATTTTTCTTCCACAAAAATAATAATGTATGAGAAAATAAACCAAAGTAAATATATCCCATTGAGGGATATATGCAACAAAGTAGTCATATATTTGTCCCACTCTAAATGTAATAAAAAAAAAACAGTTTTCATGAACAACTCCATTGGAAAAATAAGAACACAAAAATTAAAAGTACAAAACAGAGCACAGAACCCTGAAGAATCTTGATAGAAAATTCTACAATCTTTGTTTGGTTATCTCTATTAAAAAAAAAAAAAAAAAAAAGCTTTTGAGAAGAACTTTGAAAGCAAATTTTCACTCATTCAATCTTGTTGTATCTCTGGCTGCTACTACAATATTATATTTTATGTAAGAAAACAAAAACTGTTCTCAACTTCTTTTTGTTTGCTAAAGACTCACTGTTATCAACAAAAGTTGGTTTCCTTTTGGCACAGGAACCTCTTCTTGGTTTCTTGATAACCTATGTTGCAATACCTAAACAAAAACACATATCAGAACATTACAATCTCAATCAATGTTGTATCAAAGTCTTTTGAGAACAAAAAAGTTAAAAGTGTTGTCTACCTCTATTAGTTTGTCTATTTCCAACATTGTAACTTCCATTGTAACCTTCTGAGTCATTCGCAGTTGGGCCTGAACCTACATTGTCAATGTCATAACCATAAGAGAAAGCTTCTAGCTCCTGAGAAGACTGAGGTGGTAGCTGCTGCTGCTGATCCTGCCACGTTGAGTCGCTATAAACCGAACCTCCTCTGTACAATCCCCCTATAGAACCTTCAAAAGGAGACGCGGAAAGTCCAGAGCCTGTCCCATAATTTCTCCCATAGCCACTGTCATCATTACCAAAAACAGAAGAAGGAAGTCCCCAGTTCCCTCTGTTGTTTCCACTAGACACATTCAAGTTCCATCCAGAACCTTCCGAGTCTGTTCTGTTCCCCCACAAGTCTATGTTGCTCAAACTGTAAGGAGATTCAGTTCTGTTGTGTCCAATAGGAGTAGTGTAACGGTTTGGAGAAGGGCCGTTAAAGTAAGGGTTGTTAGGGAGCCGGTTAAACGTAATTCCATCATAGCTAGGATTCAAGTTCAAATTCAATCTACCGCTACCAATAACAGGACTAAACCGACCACCAAGAGATCCTCCTCCTAGACCGTTGTAATAACCAGAACCAGGAGCAAAGTTGTTGAAGTAGCTATTATTAACAGACATCATCCTATTAGACCCACCTCCATAGTTACCAGCACCATGAAGCGGGCTTCTCATGTTGGAAACCACCCCAACCTCCTTAGGAACAGCTCTTTTAACCTCAACTAGCTTCCCATTAACCTCATGGAAAGTCTTGTGTAAAACCCTATCAACAGCATCATCAGAATCAAAAGTAATGAAACCAAACCCTCTTGGCCTCTGAGTGTTATGATCATACATCACCACAACGTCAGAAATTTCACCGAACTGATCAAAGTAGTTCTTGAACTCAGCCTCCGTAATGCTAGATGGTAAACCACCTACAAAGATCTTCCTTGTCCTGTTTCCACCAGGTGACATAAGGTGTATAGGACTCGCGTGTCGTTTCAACAACACGTGCTGATGATCATCTCTAGGCACAGCCTTCTTGGCTTCAACCTAGGAAACAACAACAATTGGATTGATTCTCCTAAAAAGATTCAGAAAGTTTTTTAAAAAGAAGGTTGTACCGTGCGGCCATCGATGATGTGTTTCTCCAAGATGACTCTCTCTGCAACGTTTGGATCAGCAAAGACGATGAATCCAAAGCCACGTGCACGTCCTGTGACACGATCTCTCATGATCACAGCTTCAACAACATCACCATAGTTGGTGAAATACTCTCTTAGCTTTTCTTCATCTGTGTCCCATGAAATCCCACCAATGAAGAGCTTCCCTAGATCCGATTCCATCTCTTTAGCTACACAAAATTCAAAACAACTTTAATCTCAAGATGAAACTGAAAAAAAAAAAAAAAAAAAAAAAGACGTGGAACATACTTATGTTGTGTCTGAAAATCCTAAGACAGAACACGATCTTGTTCTTGTTGTTGGTGTTCTTGTCCTGATCAAACAATGAAATTGGATGTTCTTGAAATCTGGAAAAAATGCATCATCATCATCAGAATCATAAAACCAAAAAACCCAGAATGATAAAAATTTGAACTTTGAGAAAGAAGAAGAAAGAATCACCATTAATGGAGAAGATACAGATGAGGAAATGTGAAATGGAGAGAAACAGAGGATGTTTTTGTTCAATTCATTTCATCCTATAAAGAACATCTCTTCTCTCTCAAAGTTATTAAAAACCTTTCCTTTTGATATCTTGTAAATGAGTTTCCTTATTATTCCATTAAGAAGACTTCTTTTTGATAATTAACAATTAATGATAGAGAATAAACAGTCTAATATTAAGGCAAAAAAAAAAAAAGATTTGAGATTTGGCTTTCTTATGGTTTAAGCTTCTTGGAGAGAGAGAGAGGTCCGAATGAGAAATGACAGAAGATGATGACCACCTTCTTTTTGAATAATTTTATACAGATTTCAAATCTAAATATAACTGAATTCTAAAATAAATAAACAAGGCATGTTTAAGCTTAGATTGAATGCAACTGAGAGATAGTTGATATTAATATATTTTTAAAATATGACTAAAATATTACTATCATGGAGACCCATAATATCATGTATATGTGACCTAACTTTTCCAACAATAGAAAACTTTGAGATTTTTTTTTATTTTATTAACCTTTTAAAATACTTTACAATATTGTTTTTTTTTTTGAAGAATACTTTACAATATTGTTGAAGAAGACTAGTTGTTGTTTTGTGTTTGTTCACAGAAGAAGACTAGTTGTTATTCTACATTTTTCATCTAATATCTTTTTCATTACAAACTCTAGAAGCAAAATAAAATTTAAAAACTCTAGAAGCATGATAACTTGTTTGTTTTGATTTTTATATTTTTACCAAACAATGCTTTTCTAACATTACATTCTGTGTCACTTCGTAGAAAAATGGTGTATATCTCTATTTGAGCAATGTAGTAATGTCAGAAACCTTGATTCTATATATAAGCGGTGTCAGAGTTCTGACTCGAATCCTGACATCTCGAATTCAGAACTTTAGTGCAACTGAAACGAACTTTTTGGGTAGACAACAAAAACTGTAAGAATGGTATCAAGATATAAAATAACCATCGTTCATTGGAGGGAGAATAAAGGTACCTTTATTAATACAAGCATACAACTTCTCTCGTGTGTAGGCAAAGACTAGCCAAAAGGATATTTCTGCCATAATGATGTTTATTAATAAGGGATGCACTATAAACCAACAATAATCAACTCCTGCAACATTGTGGAGTTCTTAATACAAGTCTTATAGACAACTCACTTTTAGTGATTTTCAATATTTTTAAAATTATCATTAAATGTTGTCAATAAATCAGGAAATGTTCGAAATCGTATTTGGTTCATATGAGTGAACCAAAAAAAATATTTGGTTCATAAGATGCGTAGATGACAGTGCATTTCCATTAAAATAATAATATTATTGTATATATATATATATTAATTACAAATAAATAGAAAACAAATAAGTGTGAGTCGTGGTTACTAGATATCTATTAAAAGTATAATGTTTATATGCTAGATTGAAACAACTGTTTTCTTGGTGTAACATGATGGTGGTGGTGTGTGATTATGCGAAGGACAACAACTTTTTGGAATTTTAATTTTTCATGCGAAGTTGTCGTATTAAATATTATTATAACGTTTCTCTTTTTGATTCCTTTCTCCTTTTAAAATTGTTGTAACCTTTATCAACTTGCGAGAACAACCTTTTCAGATTTGTTTAAAATTTTCTTTCTTACCTTTTTTTGGTAAAATTATTACCTAATTTTTTAAGATACACCACACAATTTGGTACCGTCTTTGATCGTTTTATGATTGTGAGGCAACATAAAAAAAAAATTAGACATTCAACATTGAAATGATGTCCCTGCAAGAAGGATCCAAAAGAAGAGAAACACATCAGATAATCTTCACTCTTCAACACTCAAAACTAAACACAGACTAAATTCATTGATACAAGGAGCCAATAACTATACTGATTTAAACATTTTTTTTGTCAACACATTTAAACATATATATAAATAGGAAGGAGAAACCCTTTATAAATAAAAAAATAAAAAATCAGAGTGAGTCTTCTTTTGTTTTTCTTTTGCTTCAATACGTCCTCCTATATCATCAGCATAACCAACTCAACTAGTCATGGCAAGTTTAATTTCCCATATGTGCCAGTAGACATTTTCTTTTTTCAACATTTTATTTTACTTTCACATGATATTGTCATATACTCAGATTTAAATAAATCAGTATTTCTCTTTACTTAGATTTTGTGTATCATTGTATCCGATCAGTACTAGTGAACCACAGTTATCAATAACATAAATGTATGGTTCAGAGATAAGTTTGTTACAGAAACCAGAGGAGCAACAGCTGAGCCATCAGAAAACTTGATCATCAATAAAGTTGTAAGAGTGTTTCATTACATACGAGTTAATGGTGTTGGCAGTGGCGGAGGTAGAAAAATTATTTACATGGGTCATATAATTTTTCATGTTTAATAAAGCTGTTAAATTATGAAGCTTTAGTTGAATTTAAATTTAAGGGGGTCAATTCACAATTTGGATAGGGGTCAATTTGAAAATTTTAACTATAATAATATTGTTTTCCACAATTTCATGTGGGTCAATTGACCACCCTAAGGACAAGCTAGCTCCGCCACTGGGTGTTGGTAAGCTCTGTTGCGACTATCTACAATAGTCAAGTTTTTTTAATATTCTGTTTCTTTTTTTTAACTTTTCACATTATATTTTTTTTCTTCCACATAATTATTTAACATCCAATCGCACTATGTTTAATTCAATTTTTAATTTAATAATTATATATCAATAATAATTTCAATACTATATTTTGGGGTTGGTTGAAAAATTAATTTTGAATTTGGTAATTGTTGAGTTTTTGATAATTGGAAAAAAAAATTGTAGGGGTTTTTTATATCTAAATCTAACGAACCACATCTCTATGTATAGAATACAAAAAGTTTATGAATTTTGATAAAAAAAAATTATAAAAATATATTATAATTAACTGTAAAAATTTGAATGTGATTAAAAATCTATGAATTTTGAATAATTAATAATGTGCTGACACTTGCACCAATCAGATTCATTGGTTTTTAAGTTCCAAAAAAAAACAGTGTCAGACAATTTTTTTCATTCTGTGTAGTTGAGAATGAACCAAAATTATTCTGGCAGATCTCACATTTCTTCTTTCAATCGATTAAAATAATTTAACAAGATTGAATCTACATCACTTCTTAAATTATTCATTAATTTTAATGTGATTATTCAACAACTAAAATAATTTCCCAACAAGACCCTTGCATGTAGTCTTAGTAAACTATTTATTATCAAGTGTATATTATTCTATAATCATATCATTGTTAGTACATGATCTTTATTGGCAGCCACTCATCTCCTCTTTATCCAAATTCTTATAATTGTAGCTTATTCTTATAAAAATAGTGTTAAACATGTTTTTTTACTGCTTTTAGTTTCTATAACATTTTTCAAAACCTTACTATTAATTTTTGGAATTAGTTGGTTTTATTTTCATTTTGAAATCGTTGATAAAATTAGAAAAGAAAATCGAATCTATATACGTTATAGTAATGAAATTAGATTAATAAATGATAACAGTAACAGTTGCATAAGTTATTATACCTGCCAGCTAACTTCTATCGTATTGAGATCATGTGTATCACAATCTTCGGAGGGAAGCCATACTTGTGAGTTGATGAACTACTCGGATGCAATATTGTATTCAATCATTTGACATACATTAATTTTTCAAAGAGAATGTTCTATTAATGTTTTTGGTTAAAAAAATTCATATATAAGAAAATAATGAATGTATCCATGGTTATGTGGATCAAATATTCTTTTTAAAGTATGTGGTCTTCGGGTAAAAGAAAATTGATAGAAAATATTTTATGCAGCTAATTTATTTTCTTAGGTGTTTGCTATGTTTTGTAGGTTGGAAAACACAGTCATGTTGAAGGTAAAATAATATATTTTACAGTGTCTATTTAATAGAGTGATCATACTACTCGTTTAATTATTTGATATCAGTCAGTGGTTTATTCCTTTTAGTGCAAACCAATTGACAACAAAAATCATAGTATATGAACAAAATAAGTAAAATATAAATAAAATCAAGCAAAATATAAATAAAAAATAAGCAAAATATAAATAAAAAATAAGCAAAAATTAAGAAAAAGGTAAACAAAATAATTGATGTTTAATTTGCTTTGTTGTTTGCATCTTATAATCTAATTTTCTTTGATCTTTGCATTATATACAGTAACTACACAACACTTTTCGTGTTTTCTTACTTTCTTTATTAATTTGATTTTTTTGTATAGTCTAATTGTTAATTTTATGGAGTTCTTTTAAGTACAATGACTATTTAATAATTTTGTTTATCTTTAATATATATTAAATTTATTTCCTAATTCAACTTTAACTAGTCCATATAATTTATCAACTAATTTTCAGATGTCAATTCAGTTTAAGTTATGTGAATAAATATTAACTGTATAAATATAAAATAAATATAAAAATCAATTTAAATAAAAATTTAAATATTTTAAAGTTGATGTGTTAGTTCATATCAAACGCTCAATATTATAATACTATTTTATCCAAGATTATAATTAGTCATTTATAATTAAATATATTTAATTTAAAAGATTAAAAAATTATATATAAAGTAATTTTATATATATTTTGAGTAGAAATAATTCACTGCATATATGAACTATACTTTTGCACAATATCTTGAATCAATTTATCACTTTCACCTTTTAAAATATTTTTTGAACCGTTAAATCTATTGAATTTATACTTTTACTTGTACTAATGGATTCATTTTTGTTTCATTCGATTCTTTTCATTTATTTGATCTGTAATGTTTGATCCACTTTTTACATGTAACCTAAATCATAAAAAATAGATAAAAAAAATCATAGCTTAAACTTTATGGTTATAATTCTGACTTTATTGGTCATACATATAATGGGTCTACTACCCATGTTAAAAAATAGAAACATAAATAAGCAGGATACAATCATTTATATAAGAAATACAAAAAAAATATGTATATACCAAATGTGGACGGTGGCAATCCTTCTTTTTTGGTGCAACGAACGATAGTAATCAGTAATCACCTTTTTCCAACAACGTTGAGCGTGACAACACTTACGCATAACCACATATTCTACCTCTCATTTTTTCTTTTTCTTTCGAATACTGTTTCCTTTTTCTTGGTGTCAGGATCATGATTTTAGACTTCATTTTACTAAGATGTTTTCCGCCTCAAGATTACACCAAGTAAATATTATTGGTGTTCAAATAGTCACTCATTTTTATCTTGCTAGGTGGTAAACTGGTAACCAAGAAAGTTATGGACTCAGCTTAGGCCCATACTCTTTGTGGGTTTGTAGAACATGTTTAGTCTAATTGCAATATGAAAGCTTTAACAAAACAATATAGTATAACTTTTTTAACATCTATATTATAACCATGACATGTATATAATGTAATGGTGTGTTTTAGTATCACCATTGTATCGTCACATATTCAAATTAAACCTAATATAACGAGTAATTAGTTAATATGTTATTCTACGAATATTATTACATTTTCATGAAGAAAATTTTATATACCTCCAAATAAAATACATATTAATTATTGTCTTAGTAAACATAAGAATAAACTTTTTGGTTTCAAGAACAAAAGCACAAGGTCAACTATAAATAGTTTTCTTCATATCACCATATTCCATTTTGACCAAGAACAAAAATAGCCACCATTCCACATGACTTGGTTAGAAACATATAGCTTTACATGCTTAAAAAGAGACAATGTATAGACAAATAGTTGACTAACTCCTAATATAATATATGGTTAGTGAAGGAATGCCAATGTCAAAAGCATTCTCAAGATACGAAACAGCTGCAAATTATTATGACGTGTGTAAGAGTACATAATCGGCCAGAAACTTAGTTAACTTTGTTTGACGTGTGAAAGAAGAAAACATGCATAGCTGCTGAAAAATAAGGGAACGGTTGGTATTTAGTAGAATGAGTATTATATGAATGGCAAGTAAAGAAAATTAAGTGGTATGTTGTAAGAAAATTTCAAGTTCGTAAAGATTACCAATACTTTTTTTGTGAATCAGATTATCATTATGTAATACATAGTTCTCCGAGTTCGATAATTTCTAAATCCAAACATTTTTTTGTTTATCGAGTAATATCAATATTATGATTATGTGATACACTAGTTCTCTGGTTTTGATCATTTCTAAGTTCAAACATTTTTTGTTAGTCGAATATCCTTAAACAGAGATTGTTGTTTTGCAGTCATTATTCGTGAACAAAACCATATAAGAAAAAATATTTATTTGAAGAAATATGCGAAGGAAAGCATAATGATTTCAATTTGTTTTGCAAGATATGTCACTACCGTCGCGTTAAAGATAGAAGAACATAAAACAAAATACAATTTACAAAACTTTCTCAAAGATTCAAATAAACTAGTCAATGTATTCTATCAATCCATCATCAAGAAACAATAGGACCAGTTCCATTATTACCATTGTTTTCATCATCATCATCATCTACAATCCCATCAAAGAATGGGTCACGAAGAAGCTCAGCTGCAGAAGGTCTCTCCTTGGGTTTCCCAATGCACTTCTCAATAAATGCCTTAGCTTCCACATCCTTCACTTTGTTCAAAGCCTCTGGCTTGACTCCACTGCTCACCTTTCTGTATATCTTGGCTATACTATCGCACTCGCTGTACGGAATCTCGAGAGAGACTAGCTCCAAAACACACATCCCGTACGAGTAAATGTCAACCATCTCAGTATAATCCTCCTCGTATAGCTCAGGAGCCATGAACTCTGGTGTCCCGAGTACAGAGTGAGCTGAATGGCTCTTCCCCACGATTGCAGCTAATCCAAGATCACCAATCTTCACCTGATTTTGTCAAATCAATACACAAAAAAAACATTAATTAACACAAAAAGAAAAGACAGTGAATTTGTGTCTGTATCTTAGTCAATGTTCTAATAATTAGACGTCTTCTAGAGGATTATTGATTAGACAGACACCAACCAATATTTTTAGCACTATTTTTAGAAAATCGGTTTAAAAATTCGTGAACGCCGAGCAATGTCATCTAGAAAGATTATTGATTAGATGGACATTTAGACCGTTTTTTTAATACCTAAATTGATTTTTTAGAAAATCGGTTTAAAAATTCGTTTTGTTCATATCCGACTAAGCCGAGAGCTACCGGCTAAATCAATTTTTAGGAAATTGGTTTGAAATTTTTTTTTTCTTAGTATCCGAATTGCCGACTAGGCCTGTGCGACCGTCTAGACCGATTTTTAGAACACTACTGATCTAAGTATTACCTGACCGATGTTACCATTGACGAAAACGTTGCTGCAATTAAGATCTCTATGGATAATACAAGGCTCATGCGTATGAAGATAATCCAATCCCTTCAGAATCTGCTTAGACCACTTCTTCAAAGCTCTCATCGACACGTGTCTATGCTTCTTCCTATACTCTCTCAAATTCCCAGAGGTACAAATCTCAGTGATAAAGTTCAACGTATTACTCTCCTCGTCTCTCCACACCTTATACAAGGCGATGATGCTACTGTTCTTGAGGCTCTTGAGCAGCCTCACCTCAGAGTAGAGCCTCTCCGTCATGGCTTGATCGTCGGAGAAACATCTGAGCTTGACTTGGTTCCACGCGACTTCGATGCCTTCTTCTTGGTCAAAGGCTCTGTAGACTTTTTTGACGGCGCCTGTGCCGAGTAGCTCGTCGTAACGGCCGTATCTACCGGTGGGATCTGTTTCCACGAAGGGCTCTGAGTCTTTGTCTGATGGATCGGAGCTCGCGCAGGGAGGAGACATCTGGATTCAAAACGACAGATCAGTGTTCATAAAACGACGGTTTAAAACCTAGAAATCATTTCGAAATCATGAGAAACCTAAAATACGGAGAGATCTCGAAATCGAAACCTCTCTAACGTCGGCGAAAAGTTTGAGGAGACGAAAGAGTGAGAAGAGGTTGAAGAATCGTTACCGTGAAAATGGATTGAAAGCGGAGATCGTGTTTTTGTTGGTTAGTGAAAGGAAGCGGAGATTTTTAGAGAAGCTGTTGAAGACGAAAGAAGCGGAAGAGATTTGTGGGCGATTTTCTTATATATATAGTGAAGTTTTTTAAAAATATTTATTTATTGTTTATTTTGTTGTTTATGCGTATCTGGAGAGATGATCAAAATTGAGTTTAGGGGGTTTTACTTTTTTTTCATTATTATAAGTTGACACATAATTACAATATTAAAATTTGATACAAAATTAAGGAAAATCTAATTTTTTTTTTATAACACTGAGACGTAAAAATATTCGAGACAATACAAAATGATAGAGAATCATAAGAGAAAAAGAAGATATCAGTAGACATCAAAATAAAAAGGAGAAAGAACTTCACCCAACCGTTAAATGCTGGGCTTCCAGAGCGAGCAGATGGTGTAGCCATACGGGAGCATTGCTGGCGATGTAAGAGTGGTGGC